CCGAGTAAGTCATAAATCGAGTTTACGCTTGAACGTTCCGCGTGTTATCACCTCTGTCACGCGATCACCGGTTGTTATCCGCGCACAGGTTGGACGATAAAAACGACCTCCACTGATCCAGACTCTTTTTGCGACATACACCCTCTATGCGCGATTACCGATCCGTATTTACGACGACGGTGGAGAAGTACGTAATAATAAGGGAAGAAGGAATCTGAAAAGAGAATAAGAAGAAGATTGTATTGGTGTATTTTCGAACGAAATCCTCGAGAGTTGAAATCTTGAGAGCGAGTGTCTCTGAGGCAAAGGGTTTTTGAGGATAACACTGGGATAGATAGTTATTGAAGTCAATATTGAGTTGAGGATGACTCTAAAATCAACATTGAGATTAACATTGCATTGAGGGGCGAGTGTTTGATAGTGATTTTCACTCTGAATATATTATTCCCTCACGAGAGAACGCAAATGAACTCTGGGTTACGACGGAGTAATTTTTGCTGTCAACGCGGTATCCAGCGAAATGAAATTTTTGAAATCCTGCTCCCGAATTTATTTTTCGTAATTACGGTTCCTTTGAAACTCTTTTCCCTCTCCTAGAATAAAACATAATTAAAAATATATATATATATATATGTATATTGACGTATATTACTTTTCGAAGTCGAAGATAATTTTTACGAGATTTTCATGAATATTCAATTTCGATATAAAAGTGTAAATTGACCTTAGAATGGCGTACTCGTTAAAGAGAAAAAACGAAAGTGTCATTTGGTGAGGAATATTGCGGTATCTCTTATGGGATATTCTCGGGGGGAGGAGGGGGAAATCCTTGTTAAAGTATTTATGATCGTCTGGGTTTATAATGGCTGCCTGTATGAACGTGATGATTGCAAATCTATACGTATTTATATATTCAGTGACACATAAATTTACAATCATTATAAATACATGAAACAAACGCGGTTGTACGTTATTCGCAATATCGGATCTCGTAGGCGGTGGTTATTTTTTATCGTATATTTTAATTGTATAGATGCTAGATAATTAAAGGATCCTTTATTTAAATGTTTACGATATTGTTTGAAGCATGGCATGCAAGTTTGTTTCTTATTGTTTTTTTAATTATTTAGAGCTGATATAATGTATAATGTATTAAATTTTAATTATAGACTTAAACACTTTTATTGATTATCGAATTATTATTGTTTCTATTATCCTACATTAATAAATTTAAATTATTAATAATTTGTTAATATATCGTATATAATATATTAAGATTATTAATAATTATTAACCCTGTAATAACTTATCGATATTGATGAATAATTCAAAGAATACAGAATCGAATTTAAATTTTCAATCATTAAATGTAAATATATTTTATCGTATATACAATTATTATAATAATTCCCGTTTGAATAAAAAACTTATTACATCCAAGCGTCTCAAAAAAATATTAACGCATAAGCATCCATGCTCTAGAAGCTAGGTACATTAAGCTGAGAACGAAGTATACCATAAATTTGATACTTAAATCACAATCTACTTCGATCAATCTGCCACTCCTTCGATCCTTGAAATTCTTAGGCGTGGAATCTTCCTGGTAATATTTCATGCTCCCCAAATTTTAAGTCTGCATGATTCATAGCCGAAACGATTTTCTCTAAAACAATCCTTCTGCGCATCAAAGTTGAAAAGCCGATGTCCCAGATTGTCTATCCATTTGGAACACACGCTCGACAAACGAAAAAGTCGGGTTCACGTATCGATTCAATCATTTTAATCCGATCAATTGGGTTATAGTCTCGTCGCCATTTTCAAAAGCGATATTTTTACTCGATGGTTTTATACGTTTGCCCCTCTATTGTTACAAAGATTCGTTGTTTCCAATCTAGATATACGATATAGCGAGGTATTATTTTTGCATTATTTATCGCGTGTGTGCGGATTTATCGTACAATGAAATTTAAAAAAGGAAAAAAAAAAAAATACAGATCTGGAATCGTAAAAATTCCGTATAAAAGAATTTTCCGTGAAAGATTATGAAAATACTCGAACAAAAAGATTTTGACCACACACTGTGGAATGTAATCAAACTTTTATCCGATTCCATTTCCAGTTTCAAAAACTGGAAATAATTTTTTTAAACTTCGTAGCTATAATGTAAGATGTATCATGTTTAAAAAAATCTCATGTGAAAATATTTGTATACGTTAACAATGACTGTCTACCTAAAAATAAATTCGTGAGATTAAAAAAATAAAAACGAGAAATATCGAAGAACGAAAGAATAATTTATATCGTCCCTTTTACTTTTTTGTGATCTGCTAAATTCTAACGTAACGAAATTTGTTCATTTCTTTTAAATTACGCCTCTGAAATAGATTAAATTATTAAAAATAAAAAGTGAAAATATATTTTATGCTCCATTAAATTCTGTAAAGGAAAAGTTTCATTTTTTTTTAAATTGTATCTCTTTAATTTGAGATTTTTTATATTCGATTGATGGAATCTACTTGATCGATTTCATCAATTCGATCAAGAATCCTTTGAATAACGAAGATGGAATAATTAGAACGAATATGTATGGAACAAAAAAGGATGATGAGTTCTCAATATCGGTTTAATGGTTTTTAATCTGATCGATCGTATTTTCATTTCTTTCTCAAGTATTTTTTTCATTAATACTTATGTTTAATTATTTCTAATTAGAATATTTAACAAATAGAAGAACTTCCATTGTCCAAATCAATTATGATAATTTGGTCAATCGTTTTTGTAATTTATTCTATAATCTACGAGTAATAATTCTCGAATTTAACATGTTATTATTTTTATATTAACGAAGTTTTCCTAGCTCCAAGTTGGTTGCAATTTAATTAAATTCACTTAATCCTATATAATCTGAATTATAATTTTTTTATTATTATTATTATTATCTTGATTTTTTTCAATTCTTTTTAATTTCTAATTGAATCCTCTATCCTAATGATACTTTAATAATAACTCCAATTAATTAATTTTTAAGGAATTAACTTAAAAAATTAATATTAAATAGTTGCGAATCAAATATATTGTTCAATATATCAAAAAAATGTTTTCAATTACGATTCAAAGTTTAAAGCTATTAACAAATCTTGACAATTATAAGAACAAAATAATAAGAAAAGAATGGAATATAAAGTACAATAATAAAATCATAATTAACATAATTAATATTCGAAATTAATTCAAGATATTACCGATCACGCAAATTTTTCGAATCCTATGAATACAAATTATATGCAAAATACGAATAGTTGTTATTTAAAATAATCAAATAAGAGGATATAAATTCTTTAGATTATAAAAAATCGAGAAAAACCACGAAGGCGTCGATAATTGAGGATGCAGTGGGAAAATCATTGTTTGCATCGAGAGGATGCAAAGATGGAAACGCCTGTGAATAATGAAGCAACTTGTCTTATTTGCATTACTTGAAATATGTTATTACACGATGCAGCTGGCTCTAACGAGTTCCTGTCGAAATACGTTGAAGACACTGATTAATAAGACGGCAGAACAAAAAGATCTCCTATTCGAAATGCATCTATAGTACAGTACTAGGATAGAGACACACGCCATTTATATCTATATATTCTGGGAAAAAAACAAAATAAAATAAATATAAATATAAATATAAAATTACATATACCGATAGAATAATAGTATAAGAAAATTTATAATTTAGTAAAAAGCATTAGAAAAATTTATCTCTTCTCTGTCCATGAACCATTTCTTGTTTATCTTTTATTTTATAATTTTTACGAAAATTATTGCTCATAAGATATTGCTCATAATATAAATTTTAACCATAAAAATATGAGGATCTATTCAACTTTTCCTTTCTCATAGGTTACGTTCAATACTGCATATCACATTAATCATTGTGCTTTAAACGAATCGTTATTCTTCATTTATATCGTCCTCTTCCAACGTTGTGCAAATCGCCTATGATTTTTAGCTGACGTTAAACGACGTTGCGCCAACCAGTGAGTTGAAATGACTCATCATATGATGTATTGTGCGCCTAAAAGGGACGGACAATAAACATTCTATATATATTTTTTTTTTTTTTCTTTAAAATTTTTTTCCTTTTTTTCATTTCGTTGAATAGATAAGTGAAGGCGCTTATGTTAGGAGAGACAAGCAACTTTTGAAGAAGTTCTGTTATAGTCATAACTTCCTTGAAAAATAACATTTCTGTTTGCTGTCACATTGTATTGTAAATTTTATGTATATATAATTTATGTTCAACGTTAACCATTTCTAATTAAGAGTTAAAACATGTAAAAGTACCATAATACAATTTTATTCTTTCATTATTAATTTATATCGCCGTATTTCTATTATGTTTTCACAGTAATCTATCCAATTATCTAATATCTTTAATCATTATCGTTAATAAAACTAATGTTATTAATTATTATCCCATATATAAATCAAGATTGTTCGAATACAATTTCAAAACAATTTCAAATTTTCCCGCAACTATAGACAAATCTTCGAAAATACATCTTGACTTATACAATTACATAGCTGGCAAAATATATATATATCTTTCTTTATCGATCGTGTACGATGTAATGGCATATCCACGTGTCTTCTAATTTCCAGGCAAAAGAAGAAAAAAAAAACACTCCTTTCCTTGATTAAAATTTTTAGCTCGGTTGGACGAGCTTATCTCCTCTCCATCTCTCCTCCAGCTTAATTAATCTTGAAGCTTAAACTCCTCGAACGATATCATCCCTAATCAATATCGAAACGCTTTTTTATCTCCAAGTTTTCCTTTGACGATGAATGATACTTTATATACGATACGATTTATATATGATACGATTGAAAACTCAAATAAAAAGGAGAATGAGACGAGGAAAAGAAAAAAAAAACAGGATCGTTATTCGTTTCTCTTTTGTGGAAAATGCGTTCCTCGTGTTAATGTTCTGTGAATTTTCTCGCAGAAGAATGGACGGAAACGTTCCCATATCAACTGCTGGTCGGAACAGGAGTGGCGTTGATGGCTCTATTACTGCTGGCCGCCGTGAGTTTTCAATGTTCTTCGACCTGGCAATGGTTAATGAGGGTGAGACGGCACATGAAGGAGGAGGACGCCGAGAGCGACTTATCGCAACAGAACGCTATACGTATCAGTCATTCTCTGCCGGATCTCCAATCTGAGCCGATTACTCATGAGTACGTCCAGGAGCAAAAGGATAGCAAAAAGGTTGGTGTTTTATTAACGTCATATAATTTTCAATAGCTTATCTTTGTCTAATTAAAATTCATACACAAGAATATCATTTGTGTGAATGTAACACTGTGTATGCGATAATAAAGTTAAAATTTTGGAAATTTCGATCGATGATAATTCGATGGTTGGAGTTTGTAAATATAAATAAATTTGATATTTTTTAGAAGGTATTAAATAATTGAAAATATAATTTTAAGTATAGGTGTATTTAAGTATTAGTAGTATGACGTAGAATAATGTTTAAAAATATTCGTGAAAGTTTAAATATTCATGTAGTATTTTAAATATTAATTAATCAATTATTCGTCGAGAGAAATTTTCGTTTTAATTATATTCGTTTTAATATATATAAGATTTATTAAGATTTCATTAAAAAAAAAAAAAGTATTCTAGATTTCGAAATTTTTAAATTTTAAACGATTTATGATTATAAATTTTAAACCAAAGAAATTAATGACTTCCTCAAAGACATCAAAGATTTTTTTTTATATTTTTCCATGTTCAATATTTATGCTTTACTTTAAAACATTCCCTTATACTTTTAAGAGATGAAGATTGTACGACATCAAAGAGCACTATGGATACAGCAGTCTTATTTTTCACTCGATAACATCAGCTGATTCCATCTACCATCCATCATCAATATCTTGCTGCAATAAAAAAAAAAAAAAATTAAGAAATCTTAACGTTATAAATCTCTTAACAAGAGTACAAAATATTGTGTGTAAGAAAAAATTAGTGAATAAATTAGTAAAGAATCTTCGAAAGATGCAAAAATATTGCTTGAGTATTATTTCCATTAGCACTCAAGTGTAGAAAAATTTCCCTAATAAAAAATAAATTTTTTAATTTCAATAATAAGTAGCGTGACAAATGAACTTTTTCATCAAAATCCATTCTCGAAAAAGTTCAAATTAAAAATTAAAAAGAAAAAAACAAAAGAGGGAAAAAAGAATTCTTAAAGGAAACAATTAAAAGTTACTTAATTATAGCAATTTAGAGCATTCAACTAATTACTTCACTTCCTTATTTCCCTCGTAAAAATAGCATCAAAGAAGTTATTCTTTCTTATATCCAGCTTGTTCTTGGCAAATTCTCGCATAACAGTTCCCAAACGCGTAAATGAAAATTTCATGTAGCGAAACATCGTGGAGGAAAGTCGGTAGTCAACAAGCTAACGAAGGGGCGGTCGACTTCCGGGATAAACTTGTGAAATATTGAGAGACCATGGACGTATCAAGCCATGATTTTTTTTCTAGGTATTGCGCCAGACAACTTTGCCCATTGTCCCGATGAGGCACCAGAGCTTTCAGAGGCAGCTCTCTCATCGTCTCGATCTGCCCATCAAATTCAGCATCTATAGTCTGGATAAACGTAGCGATTCCAATCTTGGTTTAATCAAGGTACGATCGAAAATTTCTCTACATTTTGTTCCATGAGCAGATCTTAAACAAGAAAATTCGAAAAAAATACAAAACAATTTCGAAAATAATCTTGATAAAAGTTCAATATCTAAGGAATTTTTAAGAATAATAAATAATTAGACTAGGAATATTTATGCAAAATTTGAACAAGCCTATAGCTATGCACAAAGTTTCATTTCTTTTTCTTCTACAAACATATTAAAAATAAAAATTTGATTTTGCGAATAAAAATTCTCGTTAATTAACATTATCTGTCTTCCATAAAATAAATAAAATAGATAACATTGAATAGAATAATTCTAAAAGAAATTAATGTCTCAAAAAAAAGAAAATAAAGAAACTGGAGCAAACAATCGACTCTCAAAATAATCGAATCCAGAGGGAAAAAGCAAAAAGAGTACGAGTCAAATAAACTAAACGATTTAATGAAACTTTTCCATTCAAATTTCCCGAAGAATTCGTCCCGGTGGAGTTCAGACAATGAAACAAACTAGGAAATTCAGTTTGGCCACAAACTTTCAAAGTTTCTAACGTGCGACTTTGCTTTTCCAGCCGGAACTTTACAAAAAGGAATTGGGAGACGATGCTGAGACCGGGAGCATCACGGAAATGGAGTACGCTGGCAAGCTGCGTTTTGCTCTGCGCTATGACAAGGAGATGGAGGGGTTGGTGGTCAAAGTGAGTGTAGCAATTTTTCAGATAAATCCTTACATTACTTCTTTTCCTTTGCATATATATAAATAGATATATCGCGGAATGTATATGTCAATAGTTTCTGCCTTATAAAAAAATGTTATTGTAATCGCTTCGAATGATACGCGATAAAATTACAAAGCTTGAAAAAGTTCAAGAGTATTTCAGAAAAATGCACAATACTCGTTAAATCTCAAAATCGGTAGGAAATCCTCTTTTAACGATATCCGATAAAATTAATGGGCGGTCTAACTATATACAAAATTACTAAAAAAAAAAAAAAAAAAATAATCTTAAAACGCTGCTCAATATTTTATAAATTGAACCTTTCAACAAAATCCCACCAATTAAGTATTTCAGAAAAATATACAATATAAATCGGTAGAAAATCCTTTTTACAACAATATCCAATTATTCATAAAATTACATAAAATAAAAAAAAATGATCAAATCCTGTTCAATATCCTTTCGATCTGTAAAATATTTCACACCTCTCAGCGATATCATTCCGATACGAATTGGGGAAAAGGAAACAAATTCATTCAAAACTTAGAGAATTGAACCATTTTTTAAAGCATTAACCCTGGAAGTCCTCGCATTACGAAGAATTAAAAGATGGCTACAAATCCGACCACGAACGCGATTACCCTTGTATCGAAAGCTCTCGTACGTGCACAGTGGTCACGCTCTTATTCCCTGGAAAGCTTTTTTCCAACGCGGTGCACGTAGCCCGCGAAATCAACGTAGGACAAGAGGAATTCTTTCCACGAAAACGATGGCCGACATTCGCGCTCCAGTTCCATCGTTTCCCTCAAAATCTCTCGATACGCCTCGAATTGATTCTCTCTTCCCTGGTTCAAGGCCGTCGTGGCGGGAGAAAGAATTCGTCGAGAAGAATGCATAAAAAGCGGGCTAATCTCCGCTCGAGGAGGAAAAATTAATTTGGTATTCATCGTCGCGCGATTCGAATTCTTTATCAACCATTTATTCCGGGTTATCGATCAGTTTCGTTAATAAATGCGATAATTCATCATTGGATTCTGGTAGCTAATCCTCATGCGAATGCTCGTGGTTGGAAACGACATTATCCAAGAACTTATATTTGAACGGGGGATACCCATTAGGGATTCGAAGTTTGGAATATTGGTAATAATTATTTTGTTTATGATCAATGTTGTTGTTAAATAATTTTGGAGATTAGGTGAAAGGAGATACGTATTTTCTCTACTTTATCGTTAATTTGTATTTGTGTACACGTAATAAAATCTGTTTCTCCTAATTATTTCATTGTACGATGATCACTTCGATATTTTTATAATACACTCTAAAGTTCTATAATTATTTTATTATTCGTAACTGCTTTCTTATTTTTTGGTTATTACGTAATTATTATATTCTTCTCTGTTATTATATTCTTCTGATAACATTGTGCTTAATTGCTAAGTAAATAAACTTAGAATTAAATATTTTTAAATTATTTGTTTTTTAAAAAAAAGAACTCATTGTTGTTTGAATTCTTATTTAAATTTATTACTTTTTTCGCTTGAGAACGATCCTTTATCTCTTTTATACATATTTTTACTATTTATAAAATACCATTTATATACTGAAAATCATAATCCATCAATCGTTGAAATTGAAATTCCTATTGTGCCATAAAATTTTGTCCCGTATCCTCTTCGATTCTCATGTTTTAACCATTTCACAATGCACAATCCCTCCATTGACGCACCACTTTAACCACCTCTGCGGTTATAACGACGAGAATAGGACAATCGTTATCACAGTTAGACCGATTCCATTCTACTGGCCGAGATCCATCAGCAACGTTTCTCGCAACGTTTCACGCGCGTAGGCAAATTCATCTCGCGGTTGCACTCGATCGAGCTAATTACACCAGTCGCCATATTTAGCTCGAGCTATTGGATAACGATAATAAAGTGCATAAATACATGGACGTACACTATGACGGCAACCACTCGGCTAGATTATCTCCAACATGGTGGTGGCGCAATTGTCGCCCTCGATTCGCTAATAAGCAATGTGTCGATGCGGAATGGAATCAAGGGTGATGGAGTTTCGTTTTAAACAGGTCGCAACCCACAGTGAGTGACACAGAAATGTAAATAGTAATCGCGTTTATTCATAAATCTAATTTTATATAGGGGACAGAAGTATGAAAGGACGCGATTAAAATCGATCATCAAGACTTGAATTCTTTCCCCTCTCCTCCTTTTCTTTTTATTTTTTTTTCCACCCCCTTTCATCAATCCTTTGTCCACCGCGTGATTATGGTAATAATAGGGATTAAACGGGTGTTACATTCAATGAAGGAAGGATTAGGAATATTTTTTATTTATCGTTTGGAGAATGGAGAAATTTATTACGGCGCATTGTTTTGTTTTTTTGTTTTACTCGAGTCTCGCGTAATATCGGCAATAGATTTTCGAATTTAATTTTTGGAGGAATTCGTACGAAAGTATTTGTAATTTAATTTTTATGAAATGAAAGAATTTAATATTTTGCGTTATTTTCATTTATTCTTTTTTTCTTTTTTTATACCTCTTTTGTTTCATTCTTCAATGGATTTTAAAACTTTTCATACGTTTCGTTTTTTCTTTATTTTTAGAATAGAAATCTTTATTTTTGATCTTGCAGATATGATTAATCGTTAAATTAATCGTGAACTTTATGTTTTTAAAAATAACGCGTACGTAACGTTTACAAAGCGTGTTTAATGAAGTGTTGAGTTTTTTTTTTTTTTTCTCTCTCTCCAAGGCAGTATAACTTTCGATTTACACCCTTGAAAACTTCATCTTTAAAATTTCCTACGGAAAACAACCTATTTACGAACTTGTTTCCTCGATCCCAATTTATCCAATATTTCGATTTATCTAATATTTAACAACACTTATTTTAAACTAATATTTACACGACAATTCAATTATTAACAAAATTTGAGACAGAACCACGAATCTTGCTTATTTAAATTTTTACTCGAAGCAAGACAGATATGAAAGATCAATCTGTCGCATTTCCATATCCCACGATATACTTTCCCCTCGAATGAATCGATTCCACAGTTTTCTGCATACAAAACAGCTTCGAGATTCCAGATAAATGGATCAACTTTCCAACAATAGATGTAATCTATTCATAAAAAAAAATTTTCATAAAAATTATACCGATATATTGTATGTTACACAATTTGACTCGAATTACATTCTTACAAATTAGTTTATTATCCAACAGTCAATACAAATTAGAATCACATTGTTGCTTGTGGAGAGCAAAAAATTATTTGCATACACCCGTGTTTCTTAATGAAACATTTTGTTAATTTCGTTGATGTTTCTTTGTTCCATCCGCATTGAATCTTCTCAATATCCTACATTTGGATATGATTAATTAAAATGATCAATATTAAAGGAAAGAAGATCTGAAAATTTATATAAATATAAATAATAATGAATAATGAAAAATTTATATTTATAGTGATTAAGAAGATCTTTCTTAATCACTATGAATTACAAAAATTATATTTTTTTTTTTTAGATCTTAGAGGCTCGAGAATTGCCGGTGAAGGATGTGACAGGCAGCAGCGATCCCTACGTGAAGGTATATCTTTTGCCAGATCGAAAGAAGAAATACCAAACTAAAGTGCATCGAAAGAATTTGAACCCCGTATTCAACGAAACCTTCATATTCAGGTTAGCACGTACGAGTAGACAAATATATTCAAACATTCTTTTTTTCAAATTAAACGAAGCATTTATATATATATAAATTATTTCTGAATTTATTATTTCTGAATTTATGAATTTTGAAAATATAAACGGACAGTATATCGCATTTCGATATAAATAAAATAAGCAATTTTCGTTTTATTATTGAATGAATAAAAATTTATGGATAAAGATCTTTTATCTTTTATGCATTTAGGTTGTATACAGGATATAACTGTATATAAAATTCGCGAGAAAATGTAGAGTATGCAGAGAATTTGTCGAGTGTCTGTATTTTACCAAATTCCATAAATTATCTGCAAGCGTTCATGAATATTATTCATGGTGTATATATATATATATGTATATATGTGTCTGCAAACAATGTTTGTAATTTTATGACGCCTGTTTTATGACGTCGAAACAATTGATATCTGTCACCAGCATGTCGTATGAGGAATTGAAGGAGCAGTATCTTCAATTTTCCGTTTACGACTTTGATCGATTCTCCCGAAACGACTTAATCGGACAAGTGGTGCTCAAAGAATTGCTGGACTGCACCGAACAGGAGATCGAATATACTATGGAAATTCTGTGCGCCATGCAGGTAACGAATATGAATTTTCTATGTCATTCGATGTTCTTTCATTCATATCATTGCGCAAAATTTCTTTATTCCATTTTCAAGTTTTAATTTAAAAATAATGGAACAGATAAATCATTGTGAAAATTAAAAAAGTAAAATTGATTATTTCGTATCGATTGGGAATTGAATATTGTATAATTGTATTTGTATTATTTATATTCATATTAATTATAATTATGTTATGGAAAAAATTAAAAACCTTGGCACAAAAAAATAGAATACAAAATATAAAGATACAGTCGTCCCTTTAATTTTTATTTTTTGAAAAAGATTTTTAAAAGAACACAAAATTTGCATTGAATATCAGGGAAAATATCAAGGAAATCATGTGTATTCTAATTGTGATAGACTGACTTTGGACAATCAAATTTCACGGTTTCTATTTTAATCTCGATTTTGATCGACACGTTAGCTTCCTCCACTTTTAGAAATTGAATCGGTTTCACTTCGTTTCTTTAGGACAAGGTGGACCTAGGAAAATTGATGCTGTCTCTTTGCTATCTGCCAACTGCTGGTCGGCTAACAGTGACTGTAATTAAAGCGAGAAACTTGAAAGCCATGGATATAACAGGATCGTCAGGTAAATTTGCACGAAACTGTTTCACGTTTTCGTCCAACAATAAAATATAATAAAACAAGGCGAAAATTTTGAAACAAACAAACGCGATATCCACACGCGACATCCATCATCCATTTAAATTATTTATTTAAATCCTCGAATTGTTACTCCAAAACTTCTTTTAGATTTATCCGTTAATAACGAAATATTGCTTATCCCATATACAATTTAATTTGATATATTCGTTAAATACATATTAAATTATAATTCATAATTTTATTATTTAAATAATTAAATAATTCTCTGCTTTAAAGGCTTTAGCTTGTTAACGTGTAAATAAGTTATTTATAACTATAACACTTCTTTTAGAAAGCTGTGCATCAAAAGGAAAATTGACAAAATATTTCAAATTAAACTTCTAAAAATTTTTCTCATTTTTATTTTTAAGACAATTTTTAAAATTAAATTTTTTTAAAAAAAAATAACGCTTAAAATTCCAAACGAATCTCAAACGAATATACAATATAGAAAAGAATATTCTTTTCTTTAATATAGAAAAGAATATTTTTATCAATTTCAATACTCCAATATTCCAATTCTATTTTCAATATTCCAATTTTTGCGTTCAATATTTCGAAAATATCCGATTTATACTTTCCTTCCAAAAACTGCGCACTTCGTATTTTGCCAATATCATCCATTCTCACTTTTCGCTTGTCAAAGAGAAACTTGTATAAACACACACAGCACGACCGATATATCCATCCTGTCTCTCAATAATAACACAGAAAAATATCTAAGAAACGTATTTGCAGATCCGTACGTGAAAGTGTACCTGCTGTGCCAAGACAGACGGATCAAAAAGAAGAAGACCTCTGTGAAGAAGAACACCCTGTTCCCGGTGTACAACGAGATCCTGGTGTTCGACGTGCCCGCGGAGAACATCGAGGACGTCAGCCTCATAGTGAAAGTGATCGATTACGACAGGTACGTGAGCGACAATACTGAAGAACGATCCAGATCTGTGTGACTGTTCGATCATCGATCGGCCATCTGATTTTTCTTTCGGTAGGATCGGCTCGAATGAGTTGATGGGTTGCACGGCGATCGGCGCCGATTTCATCGGTATCGGACGCGAACAATGGCTGAAGATGTTGGAGAACCCGAGGAAACCTGTGACGCAATGGTACCCGCTCATGGAAACCATCCCTGGACACATCCCATCCGTGAGTTCGGAACCTCTTCCAGTGAGTTTGAGCTGCTTGAACAGCAGGTAAGTGGATGAGTAGTTTCTTCTTTTTTTTTTTTTTTTTTTAAGAGAGGTCAGTGAATGTAATATCTTTGATTTAACGTGAAAGTTAATACGACGAATATGAAAGTAGAATTTTGACAGAGATCCTGGAATATTTGATCAAAGATTTTTGCTTCATTTTTATTTTTGAAGATATTTGTTTGAAGAGATAGGAAAGGAGATATGTTTTTTTTTTTGTATTTCTTCTGTCATTTTACTTCGAGAAATGAATATTTATGGAATTGAAGGAAACGTCGATATGGAACGAAAAACTTTTTGCAGATGAAAACAGCATGGTTGGGATAAGTATCGCGAGAAGTCGCAGTTCTTGCCGGATGTCGGCTTGGGCGTTGTTTCCTTCTGTCGTCATTTAATGCACACCGCTTGACTGACTTAAGTACAATTTCTATCTCATCAAAAAAAAAAAAAAAAAAAAAAAAGAAAAAAAAGGAAGAAAGTTCGGAAGAAACACACAAAAATCTAAAAATCTAAAAATATTAAAAAAAAAAAAAGGAGAATGAAAACAAACAAAAAAAAAAATTAAAGAAGAAAAACACACTCTGTGCTTTTTGGAGTATATACGTGGCGAGAGCGTGAAATAGTAAACGAGCGAATAGATCGTCGTAGAATGTTTCTAAAAGCTTAATACGATTGAAGAGAGGGGATGAAAGGGGAGGTTGCTCAAAACTTTATCTTTGAAAAAGACAAAGAGAGAGAGAGAGAGAGAGAATAACAAATAAAATATACGCGTATAGATAAATAAAAACAAAAAAAACAAAAAAAGAAAAAAAAATAAAAAAAGTAGAGAGAGAGAGAGAGAAAGAGAGAGAAAGAAAGAGAGAATAAAAATAAGAGTTAGAGATAATGAAAAAGATAGAAAATAAAAAAAGATAGAATAGAATTATTTTTTGAGAACGAATCCAGGCTGGCCCTGTGCATTCAAACGTACACACAAATACGAAATATAGTTTATCAATTATTATATCATACGAACATACATACATACATATATATTTTATCAACAAGAATAAAGAGTTACATTATTACCCAATAGATGGTTGTGAACGAAGTCTCGAATTTTTACAAATCAAAATGGCGGAACGCTGCTCGATGCTTTCCGATCCCGGGAATTGAATATCCCTCGCATCCCTTGTTTCCGCTCGAACAATACCAACACGATGCAGGGATCCGTGTTAGACGCGTTCAAATTTCTACGTACATATATTGGAAAATAATTGTCTGGCGGAACAGTGAGCCGAAAACCGAAGGAAAAATCTTCGTTTCGAAATAAATCAGCGAGGCGCGGACAAAAGGATCATCGGGCGATCTAATACGAATATCTATAGAATGCACGTGATTTCTGGACGAAATTGTTTCCCAATCTCTCGTAATCGCTCTATTTTAATCGTCTATTTTCAAATTTATTTTTACACTACTCTTTTAATATATCCTTCGATATAATTAAATTCATCGTGAATTTAAATTCTATATTTCGAGCATATGATTCAATTTTTCTACTTTTATTTTAATAAAATTAACGTTTAATTCTTTGATAAAACTAGTTAAATAGTTTTCTTGAAATAACAAGGAACAAATAATTTGAGCTGATCAAAGTGATATAATTTATTGGAATAATCTGCTATATAAATAAACGAATAATATAATCGGGTCGTTTATTTGGCCACGAAAACGTGCATTACGAATATTTATAAAGTCGCCAAGTTCCGCAACCACTGGTATCAACATCGCATAAACTTAATTTAACGCGACGTGAAACATATGCGGTTGCCTATTACCCATGTACATGTGTAATGTTATTATAGCGCAGCTATTAGCTTTCGATACGTGAAATAAATAAATATAGTACGTATAACAATAATCGCTTTCAATGGTGGCCACGACCGCGGTTAGATCCAATCGTGTTAATCAAACACCTCTTTCGTGCTTCCGAACTTAATTGTTTCTGTCGATCAATTTATGCATGAAATTCGCGAAGGGAAACGTTCCAAGGACAATAACCATTTAATCGGATAGATATTCTCCTCGACGTAGACTTCGAATAGAGCAATATATTTCTAAACGTAAACGTATCCGTGAAAACATCCAACATGAAAATCGTTGTTCCGTGTTGAATCGTGCAACGCGAGCACAACAGGAAGCAAGCGAAAAAATAAAAAAAAACAAAGAAAAGGGAGGAAAAAAGAGAGAGAGAAAAAAATATATCGAAAATGAAAGAATGAAAGAAAGAAAGAAAAAAAAAGAAAAAACATGAAAAAAGTAAAAAAAAAGTAAGTGATTAGATGTAGAGGAAGACAACGTTTACTAATTCACGCTCTTACGCCAATTGTTCGCGCAAATGTTCTTATTCAACGCGATAAGTGTTTCGACGTAAAAGCTCGTCGATATGTGGACACCGCTTGTGATAACGCACCCGAAGTACGTGCATTCACGAGAAATTGAGACACGATGCGAGAGAATGCATCTACTTATCTATTTATGTCGTATGAAAAAGGTACGAACGTTGGAGGTAATTTCTATTATAGCGTTTGTCTACCTCATCATCTATCCCTTTCCCGCGAAAAGGAAGAAAGGATTTCTGAAAGAAGATAGAAGATAACTTTCTAGAAAGTAAGAATCGATTACTTGCTGAAATTCGTGAAATTTGTAAGTTAGTTGGAGTAGGGAAAATTTTTACTTTATTGAGAAAGGCATTATAAAATAAAATTTAATAATAACTCGAAGTAACGAGTTACATTGATTAATTTACAATTATTTTTACTTTATTTTTACTTTCTAGAAAGTAAAAATCGATTACTTGCTGAAATTCGTGAAATTTGTAAGTTAGTTGGAGTAGGGAAAATTTTTACTTTATTGAGAAAGGCATTATAAAATAAAATTTAATAATAACTCGAAGTAACGAGTTACATTGATTAATTTACAATTATTTCAATAACGGCTTGAAGAAAAATTATAAAACGATAGAATTAAAAGAAATTTCGAATGGTGAAACGAACATTTATCCAAGATGTATCGATTATTACATTGTGTAGTAGGAGTTCGTGTGTGTATCGAATAAAAATTGTATGCACGTGCGAAGGGCTGCGTCGTAGAGAAGAATGAATCGATGCGAACGATGCGGAGCGTGTATAATATCGCACAATTATGTTCGATTAATAAATTACAAAATGTATATCAAAAAAAAATAAAAAAATATAAAAAAAACAAAAAAGAAATAAAAAAAAAAAGTATATACTCACGTATATAATTGTAAAATTCGAGAACGCGTAAAATGGCACCAATAATTGTTTCGCGTCTAATGATAAGATCAATCGCGATGGCTCGTATTTCATATCGATTAACGATCAATCATGAAAAACTGACTAAGGCTGCAATTCTGGATACACATGGGCGTCTTTGGAAAATAGATGGATGAAGGAGAACAATCTATGTAAAATGGAATTGTTGCATGATTGTCCTCAGATACCAGATTCGAATATCTATTACATATCTTCGACTCATTAATTCTGATATGAATTGTTAGTTAATGTAGAATATTATTTTGACAAAATTTTTGGAAAAATTATCATTTTGTGAATATCTGGTCTCTAAAGATCGATTATCAAAAATCGAGCGATATATTTCGTTTCTAAAGACACTCTGTGTTTCATGTAGCTGGAATGAATAATAAAATATAAACTTATATAAATATCGAAGCATAGATTATTATACGTGATGACCATAAAAGAAAAGTATCCTTCGAATTATCTGAAAAACAAACTATAGCAAATTATAAGCGCGTAGTAGGATAAATGAAATGTGTCAAGCCTCAAATAGCATAGTATCGTAGACAAAGTAGTGCAAAACGTCAAAACGCTTTTTAGTAGTTAATTCTTTGAAATGTATAAATATTCATATACGTATATTTGTATAATCCTCGTACCAATACACGTATCCCGGTCAATTTGGTCATTGGAATCATTGATTCTTTCGAGAGATCGAAATCCTTCGAAATTCCAGCGACGCCCATTATTGGTCATGTAAACAAAATAAATAAATACAAAACAAATTATACGTTCTGTTTTTCGTACGATCCACGAGCATTGTATCACAGACTGAACTCAATTTCGCATAATTATACATAATTATCGTGATGGTCGCATCATTTTAGAAGTGATGCTTGCAGTAGAATATTAGAATGAGCTGAGACTGAGGGAAAAAATGTTTTTCTATGCATGCAAGAGTCAGATGACAGAACAAATCGATGCTGATGCGCTTGATTTGTCTAGCAAGCTATTGAGAAAGAATGTCTCTAAATTTATATATTATTAGAAAAAGGAATAAAATAAAATAAAATAAACAAAGAAAAGAAGTTATTAGAAATTACTCTATTCAATCAATGCTATTAGCCAGAATTTCTTTCAATAACTTTGTAATAATTTTCTTCGCCAATAAGATGTTTCACATATATATTGATTATACTGTTCAACATTTTTATTGATATTCTCTAATTCCAAATTTTACGTTCGATTTTTCCATCCGATTTTTTTAATTCTCCTATTACATTTGGATTCACACGAGTAAATTTTCTACTAAATTTAAAAAAATTATACAATTAGAATAAGCTTTCGAGAACGTAATAGGAGAGTAAAAAAATATATAGTAAAAAAATAATAGCAATTATATCCTGATTTCTCTGTCGACGAGGATTAAACGAGAAGGAAATTGGATTAAGCGTTAATTTTAAGCAGGGAATATCTTTCCACCACTTTGGATACAAGAATTAGCTACATTTCGATGTTATCGTCAGTTCTCTTCAATTTGACATTTTTCTATTCATTCCCATTGTATTATTAATGTGCGTCGATGTTCGAAGTTAGCGGGTTACTTTTTTTGTAAAATCGCATCGTTCAGTTCGCATCGTTCCATTGGCCATTTGTCAGGCCAGTGAATTATCTTCGAAGTAATATTCCCACAAATATCGATCGTGGATGAACGATATTTATGGAGCGCGCATGCATATCACACGACGAAACACGTACGAATGGACGAGCGTTGATCACAAATTATTAGAAATTTTTTTTTTTTTTTTTTTTTTGAGCGAAAGAAGAGCAACCAAAGAGAAACGAGACCTCTGTTTAAAGTCTACTCTGTTCATGAAAGTGATATAAAATAATCGTATATATAATCGAATATGCAGGCGAGTAAACTTAAGTAATCCGGTACCGCTAGAAGCACGTATTTTCTAACGAATGTGTATAATCTATACTGTATATTCGGGCACGCAAGTGCCTCTTGCGATTGTGAATGAAATAAAAATAAATCGGTACCACATAGAACATCTGTTGTTTAACTCTAGAAATCCCCAATTAGAGATTTATTTCCAATTCCTTTCCTTTTATAAAACTTATGAAACATTTATAAAATTTGTGAGCACTTTATTACTTATAATATACATTATATTTTGAAATAACATGTAAAGAAGATAGAAAAGAAGATTAAAAATTTAAAATTTAAAATTTATTTAAAGATCATTATTTGGGATTTAAAGATGGAAGTAGAAAAGATCAAGATCATTTAGAAATCAAATGTTGATTATATTGGTAATTGAAAAAATAACGAGTTAAATGAAAAACGGAACTGCAACATCAAATGTACTTTTCATTTATTTGACTACTTATCTTTACAGATTAGTCTACCTTATGCTAAGATACAACTTTCCCATTATGTTACCTCTAAATCGAAACGTTACGATAATACTAAGTATAAAATAAGCAATAGAGCTTATATTGGTATGTAGCAACGACTTAAGTACCTCTACTTAATAGTACTTTGTTAAAAGTGCCGGGAATTTAACCTGCGTCGTCCGTGTCTCCGACGAGACTGATCGACGTGCGGTGTCGCAGTTATAATTTTGGCTTTCGATCGGAAATTATATTTAGACAAGCATCGAGGTTTCATTTAAAACGTTAATTAACTTTGCAGTCATTTGTTCGTCGATCGAACATCGATCCATGCTTGTTTCTTTTCCTTTTTGCTTTTTGCTTTTCCTTTTTCTTTTTCTCTTTTTTTTTTTTTCTTTTTTCTTTTTTTCTTCGCTTCATTCTCAGGCGTTCTACGTATCATCTAAATCGCGTCGTTAATTGTGAAAAAGTTAGGCCATATTACATATTTCTTCTCTCGTTTCCCAATTACATTTTCTTTTTCTAATCCACTTTTTCTCCTCCCCCTAATAATTTTTCTTCCCATTTCAATGCGCTAAAATCGAAAATTCTCATTGTTTCAGTGATTCGAATACGCGGTTTCTAAATAGTAGCTTGAAATTACGATCAACAATGACATGGCGTAACATGGTGGTGAGATATACATTATGTATACATAGAAAACAATATGCCGCGGAACGATGTTCAGTCTTTGAAGAAATGTAACTGCAGCGATTAAATTGATCTGTTTTGTGTTTTTGTATGTGTGTGTGTGTGTGTGTGTGTGTGTGTGTGTGTGTGTGTGTGTGTGTGTGTGTGCGTGTGTTTGTATGTGTGAAACCGGATGGGCTTAAGCTTAATCCAGAGCGGATGGCTCGTGTAGCATTACAAATGCTGTACAATTATTTAAATCGTATCGCTTACCATAAGAAACGGATTCACGATTATAAAACGCTATTTTGACGCAGATGAAACTCGATGATTTCGTTTAAACAATCGCAGCTCTACATGAGTTTTCTCTACATTAGTTCTTATTATTCTCTGTGTGTATGTGTTTCTTCTTCATCGTCGTTTTTTCTTTATCTCTGTTTTATTATTATTTCTTCTTTCTTTCTCTCTCTCTCTCTTTCTCTCTTTCTTTCTTTCTTTCTATCTCTCTGTCTCTCTGTCTCTCTCTCTCTCTCTCTCTCTTTCGCTCTCTCCCTCTCTTTCGCTCTCTACAATCTCGCATATATTGACTTTTATCGATTGATTGGAAAATTATCTCGCGTGTAAGAAGAAGCTCGCGACGATGAGGAAATTTTTGTTTTTTTTTTTTAAACGCGAACGATATTCACGATAAGATTTCGAATTTACAATCGATCGATTCTCGTCACGATCTCTCATCCACGGAATCATCGATCTCGAATCGATCGTACGTCATCGTCGCGATTTTCTTCTTCAGTTAAATACTGAACAGGTTACGATTCTAACGACTAAGCGTCCGAGTAAGTGTGTTATACCGCGACATTTATGCGCTTTCCTCTCTCATCCGCCCATGATTACGCTTAAAAAACGTAAAACGTTTGATTTGAAATCTGTATGCAAGGGCAGTTCCACATCTACACGAATCGTTTAATCCCCTTTTACGTTTTTTGCCTATCTATTTCGTTTCTTTTATTTTTTTTTTCCTCCTCTTTCTTTCTTTTTTTTTTTTTTTTTTAATCTATTTTGTGTGTGCTTGTTTTTCCTTTTTTCTTTTTTAACACAGTGCATACGGTTCGCAATTACCTCGCGCTTTCTTATGATTCACGGATGAAGAACATCGTGTTTTCTTTTTCTTCTCTTCTTTTTTTTTTTTTTTTTTTTTTTTATTTTTTTGGCTAGACACGAATATCATCGGACGAATCCTAATCTCGTTTTGCAATTGTACAAATCTCTGTTTCTTTATTTATTTTTTTTTTTCATTTTCTTATTTTCTTTTTGTTCTTTCTTCTTCATCGTGTTCTTCTTCACTAACGTGTCGTTTCGCATGTTGAGCGATTAGTTTATTACATTATTCATTAATAAGTACACGTGCCAAAATGCACCCACTTACGCGTGCGATGTCGAGAGCACTAATCAATTATATGTATATACCTCGTAATCATAGTAATGATAATTAATAATAATAATCATATGAATTAATAATGAGAATAAAATGTAGTTGTAATAATAATTATATAGGCAAACCTTTGTTGTAGCGTTGTACTTAGCGTTATTTAAAATAGTAGCGTTACTCTTACGTGTACCGAGTACGGACAGAAAATTGATTTTTTTTTTTTGTTTTGTTTGTTAACTTCCTTTATATATATATATTTTATATATATTATATATATATAGTAATATGGAGGGAATTTACTAACAACTTGCTCGAAAAGTGCAGCATTCTCACGAACCTATAAACAAATATAAAAAATCTCCTCTTTTTAAAATCTTTTTGTTCTCTTTTTTTTTCTTTTTTTTTTCTCTTTTTCTCGCCCTCCTTTTCTCTCTATTTTGTCTTTCCTTTTTCGTTCATCGTGGTACATTTCAACCAAGATTGCTCTTCTGCTTTGATGTTCATTCTTATGCGTATTTAGAGACGTTAATTTTACACATTTGAATCGCGAATCATCGAAAGATTCAATACATTCGTTCGAATCTCCCGCTTCTTCTCGCGTTCTTTAAAAAGACTCAAAAATTTGAAAAAAGAACATCGTATATATCGATAAAAGCAGAATACAGTCGAAATGTCACACGTAAATATGCCGCGCTTCTCACTTTTTGTTTTCTCTTTTTTTTTTTTTTCTTTTTTTTTTTCTATTAATCTTTTCATCTATCCCTTTTCCTTTTCCTAACTCCATCGTAGTGAAAATAAGGTGTCGATAATACTCGGACTGTACATTAAGTACACAATGTGTGAACAGGTTGCACGTGTGACAAGCTATCTCCACGCGTGCGCGAAAAATTAACGTTATCCAAAGCACCAGGCACAATCCTCTTCCTCATACACGCACTCATACATACACATGTGTAGCAAACGCATGCACATCCATTCTTCTCGTTTCTCTCTCTCTCTCTCTCTCTTTCTCTCTCGGTCTTTCATCCCTTTTCTTCCTCCATTTATCCCCCATTTCTGTTCGCCTCGCTGGCAGATTTCTTTTCTCCCCCTTTGACATACGAACGAAACGACACGAACAACCATGCAATAAGCACGCTCATAACGATATAAGTAGCGATATAATACCAATGTTTTTAACACGTTGTTGCACACGTAACATTGTCCTATGCGTGTATAAATTGTACGATTAACGAGACCACGGTGGCGAGCCACGTGGCGTGCACGATACAAGAACCGACACTAAAAAACGTTTATAATAAATCCCTTATTACAACGTTATACATCACGACACATTTTTTTCCCTCTCCTCCTTTCTTTGTTTGTTTGTTTGTTTGTTTCGCAAGCTCAAGAGTGATTGATCGCTAGAACGACGGCATCATGCACTTATACTTTACACCTACCACGTAGAGAGTATCATGTAACATGATTTCTTTTTTTTTTCTTTTTCCTTTTTTTTCTTTTTTCATTTCAAGTGTTAATCAACGACATCTAAGGAATTCGAGATTTCGTCGATAATCAGCCACGTTTTATTCGCCACGATTCTTGACTAGAAGCATCCTGAGACGTGTTTTATCGCGTTTTATTCGCGCAACGCAGAAAACTTCCTCTATTAATCCGTTTCTTTTTTTGATTATTGTTGATTGTTAAGTACGTTCCCGGACGAAATGGCAGAAATTGCGTAAAAATTAAGTATCGAACTCGCGAGATATGTCACGTGGCTGGATTACCGACGTAACCGCAAAAACTCTCGCTCCGAATTATTCTCATTTACACAGCTCGCCCCCATTTACACACTCCCCCCTCTCCTATTTCCTTCTCGTCTCCCTTGCCGTTCAACGCTCACGCTCACGAAGGCCAATCTTTTGATCGAGAAATCGCCGAACGAATTTTTTACCAAAGGGAAACATATCGAGATCTACGGATCTAACAAGCGTGCGCGTGAAAAGGACGACTCGCTTCGTCGATTCGCTTCACTTGAAGCGATACTCTGCCATACAATGTTGACGTATGATCGAATAACAATATCGCAATATCGCAATTGAAAGCTGTGCATACGCGCGTTCCTCTTTAATCCCGGTGTATAAATTTCGAATTCACCCGATATATAACGAATTATACCGGTTGTTTCAAAAAAAAAAAAGAAAAAACAAAGAATGATTAGCATTCGTGATACAGCGAAACGACGAGTAGACGAGAGTCTCATGGATTATTTCTCGAACAACATCCTTCCCACATTTCTTTCTTCCCCTTTCTTCTTCTTTTGTCTCGACCATTTGTTTCGATTTGACTTCGATCTTCGACTTGCATCGACACGACTCCTTCTTCCCATTTCTCGTTCGTCAATCCTCATGATTTTTTTCCTCTACCCCCTTCATTCGAATCATCATACGGGCGACCACCACGCTCACACACGACAATCGATCCCAACGGATTCTGGGTAAATCCACGTGATTCAGACTCGCTCGTTTTCTTTTTTTTTTTTTTTTTCCTTTTTTTTCTTTTTTAAAGCCTATTTAACAATTCTTTCGTTCTCTGCTGATTAATTATACATCGCGTGCGAAAATACCAAGAAATATCCTCGCAAAAAGTTAAGCTGGACGGCTTTGATAAAAAATTAGGATCTCTTTCGAAGGACGTGATTATCGGGATTATAGGAAGTGTTGCGGGATGATGATTGAGTGTATGTATATGATCATATTGGTGATTGATAATATGTATATATATATATATATATATTAGTGTGACGTGTGACGTTTCCTTCAGGATATGATTCAGCGTACACGCGGCGAAAAGAAAAAAAAAAAGCGTCGATCGCCCACCCCCTCCCTTTGCGACAATAATGCCTTTTTTTTTTTTTCTTTGTGCAAACGTGTACTTCTTGTTTAAGTATATGTAAATATTAATACTTTGTGTGTATATACGTGTGATATCTGTGTGATCAGAGTGTGTACGTGTGTGTCGTTTACGTTCTTACATCTCAGTAAAACCGAAATTTATTAAAGTGTGCTTAGCCAAAAAGTGTCTCATTTATCACGAGCAGCAATTATTAGCGCGGAAATTCTCTCTTTCTCTCCCTCTCTTTCTCTCTCTCTCTTTCTCTCTCTCTTTCTCTCTCTCTCTTTCTCTCTTTCTCTCTCTCTCTCTTTCTCTCTCTCATCTATCGCTCATTCGCTCGACACCCTAGCACGGAATTATGCGTGCATGTATAGATATTATATATATATATATATAAATGTATATATATATATAATATGTATGTATATTTTTTGTTTCTGTATATGTATATTTATACGTCGTAGAGATAATTTCGTATTTACACACGGGACGTTGCTAGACACGAGTCACCGGGCCCCATACAAACCACACGCAAGAATTTCCTGAGTGGAGGAAATTTAAACATGGCATACCACGCAGAGAGATTATTCGCGATTTTCTTGGTCGCGAGCCCGATTTGATCGCTTTCGAGGATATTCTGATCACGATTAAAAGAATTCGCTCGTTCCTCGAAACGAAGGGGCGAGTCGAGAGAATCGGCCTTCGAGTATTCTCTCAAGCGATACAGATAGATAGATTCGAATTGTGTTCGTAATTGACTAGCGGTTCGAGAGAGAGACAGAGAGAGAGAGATTTGAGAATGGCGAATGATTACACTTCATTTTTTCAATTAGTTCTTGTGAATTTTTTTCTTCTCTTTTTTTCTTTTTAGAATTCTTTCTTCTTTCTCTCTCTCTCGGTTTTTTCGCATGGCTAGAAAGCTCGAGAGCTTCGTCGGAATCGAGAATCGCGCTCAATAAGTCGAGCGGCCCCGAGCTTGGCCAGTTCCCCCGAAACTTCGTGAGCTTGCGTCGCGCGCCATCACACGGAAGCACTCGAATATTCTCTCCCACAGAGTCGCGAAGAAAGCGAATTATTAATTATTTTTATTTTTATTTTTATTTTTTTACTTTTTTTTTTTCCTGTTCCGTTTATTGCTAAAACGCTGAATATTTATAATATATCTGAGTGAGTATACCTGCTGCACGGCGACTACTGTTCTCTGAGCCCACTACTCGATTGTTATTAAACGATTACGAAAGCGTCGTTGCTCGTTGCTCCTATCTGTAAACACTCCTCGAGAGCGGACCGAGTTCATCATCGCTTCTCATTCGAAACTTAACGACGAAACGCTTCGTCCAATCCTCTGCTGTTTATATTGCACGGTGCGTTTTTCCCTTTCTTCTTCGACACGTCACGATCGAATCGTTGATCTGTTTGAATGGTATTGTACACGCGATCGGATGTTGCGAGACCTGACTTTTAAATGGATGTTACCGTTACGACCCGTCCATGACCGAGAGAAATCTGTCGATGTTGGGCAAGGAAGACGAACGACAGATGAACCGCGTTCGTGCCTCGTTCGATTTTGCTAGACGTACGCGAAGCAGTCTCAGTAGCGTTGCTGGAATTCGTGGTGCCATCTGTTGAAATCGATATGGAAGATCACGATCGATCCATTTGCCAAGCCAGCCAACAAAAATCTGTTGTAACAAGATGTTAAACGTTAGTGTTGCACAAATTGTGATCGACGAATCGATAGTGAGTTTGTTTTTTATCAACTCTTGAACCGTTGAACGAAGAAAGGAAGATGCGAATAAATAACTTTTGAAATAACTTTTTTGATTTATGATCCTTTTTTTTTTTGAATGAATGAAAGATAAAGCATTTAATTACTCTTACTTCTGATCATGCGAAAGTGCCAGAGAACGGACACTGCTTTCGCAAGCTGGGAACGCATAGAGGAGAGCAAGATTGAACGTTCTCCAAACTTCGACGATTCGTTTATCACCACCTGTCATTAAGTACTCGCCGTCTCTGCTTAAAAGTAGACACTGAAAAAAAAATAAAAACGTATGATAATTAATATTTGTTTGAATTTATAGAAAAGAAAATACTTATATATCTTCATATATGGATGCTATAGGAATTTACCTGAAGATTATCGTTATGAGACTCGTGGCGAAGCCGTTTCCCGTTTATAGTGAATGCCGCTATGTGTCCACGCTCGTAATTCACAACGATAACACCTTCCCGCGACATGGCGATATTTTCTGGCGAAGAAAATCCATTTGGTGCTTCCAGCGATCTCAGAAGATCGCCAAAGGTCGTGTGCACTAGAACTGGCCCATCTGGAAAGAAAAGGATGAAATTAATAATCTTAAAAATATCTCTACTATTAACTCGAAGAATCTTAATTACAATAAGATCCAGAAACGACCAAGCCCAGTTCAGCGGAAATAACAACTGCAGTTACAGGTTGCTCGTGTCCTGTGAGGGTTGCTCTCGGCGCTGGTGCCTCACCCTCGCCGACGATCGTCTGCGTTCTGGCATTCCAGTGCCACAACAAAACGGTGCAATCGGCACTTCCCGATGCTATGTAACAATCAGACGTGATGTTGCATTCGCTGCGTGACAAACACGTAACAACTCCGTAATGGCCGAACACTATTTGTACAATTTTTGCTAAAAAAGAGAAACAATAGTTAAAGCTTCTTGTTATTAAATTTCTTCGTAATTTTTATCTTTCCCCCTATGAATCTACGTATCCACAAATCTGATTACCAGTTTCGGTAGAGAATACACGGAAGCTGTTGTCCCAGAAACCGCAAGCAACCAAGAATCTACTATCCACAGTGGTGACGAAACAATTACTTCGTATCTTAAGCTTCTGACTGAAATTGTCGCCCAAGTGGCGACGCAGGGCGGGATTCGAACTATTCGCTGCTTGAGCTACAACAATCATTAATAACTATCTTCGTGAAACGAATAAATTTCTCACAAAAAGAAACACTCCTCCCACTTTATTCTTCGTTTTTACTTACACAGAACTGGATCCATAGACAATGGCTGATTAGCGGCTTGAGCTTGTGGAGTATCCGCGTAACTCGGCGATTGTACAGATGCTACAAGTATATATATCTTCGTGTTAACCGATTTCAGATTTATTTTCGAACGAGAATAAAAAATTGAGATAATATTAAATACCCGCGTAATTCGTATTCCATCTGTTGACAGCGAATTGCTGTCCAGTAGTGACTGTAACGACGGATGGTAAAGGTAGTTGAGGATAAGTGTTTGCCGATATATGACAAATCGGCGAGTTGGATGGGAACTTGATGGTCATGCAGATGTCGTCTGGGATACTCGAAAACATCATCGGCGACTGCAAAACGGGTGGCAACGTCTTGTCAAACTTTGGGGTAATCTTCTCGTTCGGAATAGATTGAACAGAAAGAAAAGCGTGCATTGTACTTCTCTGTAGGTAAATAATACGGTAACTCGTTCGATGATTTGAGGATGTCTTGGTTAGAAATGTAAAGAAGGATGGAATTTAATTATTCTGTTAAGTTTGCTTTTTTTTTTTTTTTTAAAGCAAATGTTCATAAACACGAAAAGCTCCTTAACGCGAAAAGTTCATTAAAGGATAAATTAATATATAATTAATAATTCTAAATATTAAACAATCGTAGAGATATTGAGACAAAAGATTGTTTCCTTTTTTCTTACGTTCTTAAATTTCTAGATCGATGATTCGTTTTTTAGTAAAAGCCATGAGTTTAATTGACACATGAATTGATAATGAAACAAAGCGTGTCTAAATTTGTTTGAACTAATAAAAGTAACATTAAAATTAATAGATGATTATGAAACATCTCGAATGAAAAATATGTGTTATATGTTAACAAAATATGTGCTTATTTAACAAAAAAATAAAAATTACGAAGACAATGAATTATATATGAAGATTAGTATGATGTGATATATAAAATTATAAAATCTAAACCGATTATTCCTTCTATGGATTAGTATCTATCGTTCTAGAACTAACAGAATATTTTTAAATATTCGCATCCTTATTATTAATTTGTTAATCCAACTTATGTACATCTCCCTTCTCTCCTTTTTTCTATTTGATTACCTACGGATTACATTGCACACTCTTCGTATTACACAGCTCTACGAGACACTAAAAAAACATGATTCGACTATCGAAAAGCATGATGTATCGTGACATGAACGTTATTATTTACCAAATGCATCGCTGAACTTCGAGGAGGATGTGGTTCCATTAAAAGTTGCGAGGGTGTTTGACCGAAGTTTCTTATTTGATTCTCTATGGCTTCCCTCATAACTGGATCAGTTATCGTATCCAAATCCACGCTACCCTCGTAAGTTAAGTAATAGAATACATTCGTTGCACGAACCGCTTCTGGACCTGAAAATTTTTTATTATAACAACATATTTCTTAACGCAAATTAATTTATATTATCTTCCATTTCTCGACTTAAAAATTAAATTCAAAGTTTGATTAATAATTTTTATACAAGTATAAAAAATATAAAGGAGCAAACATTCTGTTCCTTAAAAAGAAAGAAATCGAAAATAAATTAATTTAAAGAAAAATTAACGCAAATTTATATCCTTATAATCTCCCACTTCCGGACAAAACTTAAAAACAACTCGACGTTTGATTAATAATTTTTGTACAAGTATAAAAAATATAAAGAAGCAAACATTCCGTTCCTTAAAAAGAAAGAAATCGAAAGTAAATTAATTTAAAGAAAAATTGACGCGAATTAATTTATATAATCTCCCATTTCTCAACAAAACTTAAAAACTAAACTCGAGATTTGATCAATGATTTATATACAAGTATAAAAAATATAAAAGAGCAAACATTCCTTAAAAAGGAAAAAATTGAGAGTAAATTAATTTAAAAGAAAATTAACACAAATTAATTTTCCATTTCCGGACAAAACTTACAAAAAACAACTCGAGGCTTGATTAATAATTTATATACAAATATAAAGAATATAAAGGAGCAAATATTCCTTCAAAAAAAAAAAAAAAAAAAAAAAAAAAAAATTGATTGACTAAATCGATCAAGATACAATTTAATCCAACTTATTCTTCAAATTGCGAAATAAAATCAAATTCGAAATCGATTCGATCGTGGTTAAATTTAATTTTAAACGCCAAATGCAAGATTGTCGCACGCTCGATCTCTGAGAGGCGCTGCCGATTGCTCGTGGCCGGTATTTCCGGTTGCCCGGTGCTCTCGTGCGACCAACCGTAAACGTGTTGCGTATTAGGGGTGGCACGCATTGTCGCGGCGTGCACACGTGCCTAATTGGTTGGGACAAGACCGGGAGGAAGCTAACTAAAAACTAATTTCTTCCATACGCGCGGCGAGCGCCGGCACCCGCTCACCGCCTCTTTGCCGTGTTCGGGGAAGCGCCGGATATAGAGGCGCCACCGGCAATTACCATCGGTGGAAATCTAATTTGACTCGACCACGCATGTCCCAACACCCGGGCCTGGCCTACCGTTCGCTCCATTGTGCGGATGTCGTGTCGATTCGGCCGCACAGCTTTACGCGGCAAGATTAATGTCACTGGGATTTTGTGCGGCTTTGTAGAGATTTGAATTATGTTCCGTGTCATCTTTTTTTTTCTTCTTCTTTTTCTTCGTTCGAATATATATATATATATAATTCCAGCTTTTGGTTTGAAGTTATTACACTTGTATTTATAGCAACGTTCGTAACGTTGGATTTTAGAGTAATTGAAATATTAAAGTGAGAATGTTTGTGCATTTGTGAAAAAAAATTTGAGCTTAGAAGAATCTATAGGATACGATGTAAAAAGAGAGTGGAAAATATTATGATATTTGGGGAATGTTTGAAGATAAATCTTTGTTATAAGCTACATTTCTTTAACGGTTTGTTAAAATTGTAATTAACAAATCTGTAGTCTAAGCACGAAGAAAATTTGCGTGAAAAAATTTATTCGCATATTTATTTCGCATTGTGTAAATATTTTGATCTTTACCTTTTTGTTTGTAGCCAAATATTAAATCGATCCATTGGTGTAATTGACAGGACACGAACTCCGACTCGAGAGCCTATATAAATTAGAATTGTAAAAGAAATACGAATCGTTTGATTAAAATCGTGTTTATACGAGATATGAGTCTCCAGTACCATTCGATTAATTCGTATAAATTCTTCCGGGGACGACGCCCACGGGGGTAACTCGACGTCGCCGACTATGCTGCCATCTTCTTGTCTGCCCAAGCGATATCGATTGCTGTTCACCAGCATCTCTGGTAGGAAGAAGAACTCTGGAATCAACTCCTGTAAAAGTAATTGCAAATTTTTATTGAAATAAAATTCTCATTCAAAAAAAATTATTGGAAAAATTCACATGTAAGAAAAAAATAAACCTTGACATCCGAAGTATCGCGTTGGCAATTCTTCCAAGAGAGAGCGATCGAGGAGAACAATCGATTCGGATGATCGAATTTCCCGCCTTGGAGCGCGAGGAACATCGTTGTCATCGGTTCCTGAAACATTAAAAAATATCCTTTAAGTAATAATATATTTTTATCATAAACGATAATATCCATTGGATATATCCTATAATTTTTGACACTTAAAATTCCAGTTGGATTTTTAAATTTTAATCGAGTTAAAAAACAAATGAAACGAGCAAAAACTTTGTTCGATTCAAGGATCAAAATTTTTTGGAGATAAATAAAGAAAATTCCTTAAAAAAAAAAAATTCTAAATATCTTTCCACACACGGCAAAACAAGAAATGCTTAAACCATCGCGCGGATAGACTACCGTCAATGAGAGGTTATATTGTTATATGGTTTCGCGCTCAAAGTCCTATCCGTCAGTCGTCCATTCCACTGACAGCCTGATGAATGTTAACAGAGGACCCCCCTGCGATCACCGCGAGTTTCACGCGTAGGCGTCGAAGATACGGTCGTGATTTACAGCTGTTGTCGACGAACGAGATTTTCGACAAGTTTTGCCTCCAACGTTTACAATGATCGAAGAAATGAGCGGTCCCAGCCTCGAGCCCGCTTTATCTCGACGCTCGTGGAAACCGAGGCCCCAAACCGACAAGAAGCGATGCAGTTATAAAGCAATAAATTGTTTACGATGTTGTGTATCCTTGTGGATGGAACAGCAGGGTGCCTTGCCACAGTGAAACAACAGTAAAATCGCTTATTGACGATTTGTATGTAAATGGTTGGAAATCGTGGTTGCCTGCGCGGACCTTCGTCATTTACGCGAGATTTGATCGCTGTGCGAGTATGTCGCGAGCTAACGCGTGCAATAACTATCATGGGGACATGAAGTGGATTGTATGTATGTACTAGAAATAGCGATAAACGAAATTACGATGGTAAATATGGATATTTTTATTTATTTATTTATTTATTTTTCTTATTTCATACCGCTTACTACTCGTAATAATAAAGAAGTTATTTAACTTTTTTGATTTTGTAATTGGTGAGAAAAATTAAGACGATAAATTGGCGAGGGATATATTTTTGAATGAATTTTTGAAAGGGAAGATATATACGTATATTTAACTGGAAGGCGGGCTAGAGGGCGTTCCAACGCCTCCAAATTAGTGTGCGGATACTACTGGATGTGGCGTGGTTGGAAATTTACGATTCTGGACTGGACAAGTTTCTGAAATAGAGTACGACTTCGAGGATCGATGATCTCGTTGAGATATCTTGTGTTGAATGTTTGTTCAATCGAGTAGAGTTGAGATCTATTTACAAAATATCGAATTAAAGCTGTAACTTTATGAGATTTGTCAAGAGAATTTTACACGTGTACATAAGTGTCGTTTAAAATAGACGTTAGTGTAAGAAACAGCGGTAAGAAATGATGATAATAGTAGAACTAAAAATAAATATTAATAACAACTTACCACGCGTATCATCCAGTTCAAAACAAAAGCGGCTGTAGAATAATGCGTGCCATAATGGAAAGGCGGTATACTGTCGTGCTCCCAACTTTGAAAGCGTTCCTCGAAGTAAGCTCTTCTGCTTGGGTTCAACGCACCAATTGGCTGAAAAAAAAAAAGGAATTTATGAGAAAATTTAATTCACGATTGCAGGCATTATATATTCTCATACACGTGTATTTTGTACCTTTGATAAATCACGATAGTTGCTAGGCAGACTGAGATCGAGCTCCTTCGTCTCGTAATTAGTCAACACCCAAGGGAACACCGGATACTGGTTCAAATCGTTATAAGTTCGTCCTGAAACGTAAAACTCGTACTTAACTTATCGTCCCCTTAATTAATTACTTCTGTTCTTAGTTTGATAGCTTAACATATCTAAGTGTACAAAAGAACCTTAACTGAGATTTATTATCAAAAATTGATAAATAGAAAAGATATGTTATCCAATTGCAACACCAAACTACAATAAACTTTAATTATAAACTAATATAATACAAATCCAAACGCGAAAAATTCAAGAAACGATAATAATAAATCCCCGCTGAAATGATTTAAACATCATTTACGACGTAACCGCAGAGATATCACAGAGATCCATCCACCCCGTAGCAAAAACAGAAATTCCTCGTTTAAACGATGCCAAAAATAAAGAAGGCGTCGTTGGGCCCTTCCTTTTAACGCGCATAATCACCGGCCTAATTTTTTTTTGCCCCGGTCACTCTTCTTCCCTCGCGCCACCCTCGCGCCATAACGAACGATAAAAAGAGGAGGATAGAGTAGAATGGATGCACATACTCCCTCTAATTCTATTTTTACGAAATGCATGGGACGACTCCGTTCCGTTCATTGGGGTACGAGGTGCTCCGTTTAGTAAGCGCATAACTCAGGCCGTGACGGCTAATCGTTCCTGAAATTGTCACTTCTGGAGAGGCCTCGCTCTTCCACCCCCTCCTCTTAGAATCCCGTTCCAAGATGCATTAGTGACGGCAGCGCGGCTGCAAGCTTGACTTCGTCTAATCTCCTCCCCTGTCGCTAATTAAAACCCGTCAGCAAGTTTGTCAGGCGAAGTCTACTACTAGCTCCGCCACTACCCTCCCTCCCCTCTTCGTGTCGGATCGTTTACAAACGTTTAATTCGCGCTACTTGGTCTACTCGCTCTTTGCCTGTCGACATCCGCGGTGTGAACATTATCTTCCTCATCGATCAGAATTTTTCTTGTTTTGATCATGCTTCTCCTTTTTTCGTGTTAATACGCGTGTTTTCGGAAGTATAGAGATATGTTATAGAGCATCGAATAACTGCTAATTAATTACATAAAGTTTTTACTTGAAGTAACTTTAATATATTCAATTTTGGTATAGATATTAAATTTCGAGTTAGCACAGTATTATTTACTAAAGAAGAAAATCTTATGGCAAAGATATAGAAGAAAAACTTCGAATTTAAATTTGCAATCGAATATCGCTCCATTTTCAGTTTTCCTGTCTTCCAACAACCAACCATCTTTTTTCTTTTTTTTAATTCAACTCAAACACGCCCGATGAAAAGAATAATCTTAATCTCTCAGACTCAAACGTTATTCTTGTCATCCTAAGGTACATACAAGAATAATTAGAATTCGAAAAGAGAATTCCTAAGAGTGCACTCGCGAGCGAGAGCAAAAGGACGAGCGAGCGAAAAGTGGAAGGGGGGAGGAAGGAAGGAAGGAAGGAAGAAAGGAGAGAGAGAGGGAGAGACTCGTCGGCGGAGTCGGCGCGCACAAGCCTCGGCTACAATGCGTCGTAAATCGTGACGCTGCACGACCGTCGGTTGGACGTAAATAATAGTAAGGCCGTTATGCATCAAAGTGATTATTAATGGTAGCGTCGCGGTGAGTGAGCGCTCTCAGAACTCTTCCCGACACCGGAATGCCCGCGACACGCGCCCCCTCGTCCTCCCCGCCATCCCTTAACCCTTGCTTTTTTACCTAACCCTCCGCCAACGGGACAACGTTATAATAAGTGGTGGTGGCCGCGACGACGAGAGAGCCTCGTTTTTAACTCGCCACTCGACGCGTGATTTAAAGGGACGCGGATCTCCGGGAGAAAAATTGGCAGGAAGTCCTGCGAAATGTTTTCCAATCCTAAGACTGCTCGACTCGTTACGCTCGTTGAATTTGATTTGCGGAGGAGGATACGATTTTCTTATCGAAGTATTCAAGATTAGAGTTGAATCGTAGAACGAGTTAAATATTTCTAATTTTCTTTTCAGAATGATATTTAATTGTCAGCATATAGTCGGTTCCTTTATGATCAGAATTGTTTATTAATTTTTTTTAAATTTTGTCATATTGTAGAATAGTTAATATAATAGTTAAAGATAAATTAAAAGTAAAAATTATGCTTTTTTTTTTTTTTAACATAATCAAAGTGTTTTTCTTTAAATGGAGATAATAACGAACGATACAAATCTAATAATTTAATTTTTTGTAAATATTTTTATTCGTTTACCAAAACACGAGAATCTTCGTAAGAATTCAATTGCTATAACTATAAGAATCAGTACATTGTGGTTATTCGAAGAACGTTTTCTCGTCCCGCAACAAATCGGCGATTAAAACAAGTATAAATACCGCGGAACATAAACGGAAAGTAGGTACAATCCTCGAGAAACCTGAAACCTTCGAACATGCATTCCACCAACGTGAACGTCCGTTACTTCCAATGCAAAATTTAAACGATACAATCGTAACTGCCTATTGTTCGATCGAGACCCAAGGAATAAATATATTTTCAGACCGATGCAAGAAAAAAAAAATAAAATACTTTACATTCTTGTTTATTTTCTAAAGTACGAATAGGAATATAAAATATATTCGATAAAAGAAAAAAACTTTCTTTTTGTTTATTTTGCGTACAAAAATCAATCAAAATAATTTAAACATATCATCAAAAATTCTGCTCACACTACACAAAAATATCAATCAAAATAATTCAAGCCTATATCACTCGTAAATCTCAGAAACTAAAAAATTCTTCATACTTTTTCTTCCAGAGCCCCTCCTACCTCAAAATCTCCGCAACACCTCCGTCTAACCTCGCATTATCCAACGCTCTTATTAAACTCTCCTCTACACAAACGAATTAAAAAAAAAAAAGAAAAAAATAAAGAGAAGAAAAAATTCTGAAGCGAACAATTAATTAAAGAAACTCTCCCCATCGGAAAGAACGCCGATGGACCCGGTGGCGGCGTTGCGTACACCCACGCGAACCGGCTCGCATCAGGACACGCAGCCTATCATATTTACATCGGCCCTACTGTCATTAATTTTTAATAAACCGATGCGACCGAGAGCAAATAAACAAGCGAATCGCGATGCGGGAGCCTGAGGACCGGTTCGTTTTCGCAACGTGTACCCCCGCCGGGCCTTGCCCAATTGCGTCCTCCGCCTCCTCGTCCTCCTCGTCCCTTCCAAAGATCGTTGAACCCCGTCGACGATCTATTTATTCGCGCAATTAATATATAACGCTCGTAAATACACCCGGATATATACGCCTGCGGCGTATAACGGCGTCTCTCGTCGATCCACGCGAATAATTACGCGTCTGTGGTGATGATCTTTGTCATTAAGAGGACAATTTTGCAATCGTGGATGCCAGTTCTGTATTTGTGTAATAATGATCGAGATTATGGATATATCAGTTTCATATATCAGGGATCGTCTTCTTCGTTTGGGCGAGATTGATACTGATTTGGAACATCTTCCATGCATATACGAGGATAAAATAATATCCTGGAATTTGAAATTTATTGTAAAGAAGAAATTAGTAAATAGATTTTTTTCTTCGATGAATTTTCTTCCGTAATCGAAATGTTTCGAAAAACTCTTCAAATCCTATTCTCTCTTCCTTCTTTTAATCATAATTAATTGCACAGAAATCCAACTCCTCCAATTACGGATCTTTTCCACCCCTAAACGCGACAATGTCCTCAGGCTACTCCACCCTTGCCGCTTCCCAAACGAAACACCACACCAAACACCACACCACGCCCTCTGCAACGTTTTATAAAATCCATCGAAACGGCTGATCAATGTGATCCAGTAGAAAAAAAAAAAAAAGAAAAAAGAAGAAAAAAAGGTAAGGGATCTCGAGTTTCGTGATTTAGCCCGCGATTCGAGCGCACAAAAGGGGCGGTCGATATTAAACCGACGAAGAAACAAAGGTACGGAGTCTCATTCCGCGTGGGGAAGAGCGAAGAACGACGACGGTCCCTCGGGAGAGGATTACCGGGGCCCACGAGACGGGGATTACTACGTATGGGGTGGCTAACGGAACACCGAGCTGATTGAGAACATCCCTAATACGCCGCGACAGATTCCATCCGGCCGTGTGCGGCCATAGATGTTCCCCTCTTGCTCTGCCCCGTCTTCGACCACCGTCTGTCTCGTTCTAGCTCGCTATGTAACGCGGCGACAGGATCGGGCGACGACCATCCGCAGACATCGCATTTTCCTTCCGCAAATCGTAAGCCGATATGATTTTTTACCCGTCGTACAACCCCCTTTTGAACATCGTTATTGTGTTGAAGAGAAAATATGGAAGCATTTTGTAGTCGAATGGAGTATTTTGTTTAATAGGAAGAGGATATATTATATTTTTGGCGATAATTTTTGGCACGTGAAATAAGGTATCGAATATTGATGGAAATCTTTTTATGTAAAGAAGTTATATAGATACTTTGATTTTATAATAAAGAATATAGCATTATGGATGATATTGATAAATGAATTTGAAAATGAATGTGCTTTAAATGAAGAATGATATTATAAAATTCGATCGAAAGAAATTAATGATAATATCCTTTCATGATAAGAGATATAATATTTATGAGAACATATATGGGATACGAATTTTATATCTTAAATCTAATTTTTCTTGATTTAAAAATTATCAAGATTGATAAAGGGAAAAAATTTGAACGAATTTTTACTTACCAGCAATGGTATTCAAGAACATGAGATACTCGAAATTCGATATTTCTCTTCGCTGCCATTTCTGCGTCATATTGGAGCTCCTCATTAATTGTCTGGGCGACATCATTGACGCTCTCCTGTAAGAATAACGTTTATGTTGATTCACTTTATTAAAAAAAACGTGTGTTAATTAAAATCGTGCCAATTCTTAATGATTAATTCTACTGATAATAATTTTGAATCAAATGGAAATCATCAATGACACGTTATTATCCTAGATTATTATTCATCTAGTCAAATGATATCAAAATCGATATATAACAACTTATTATTTACGATTTTAACGTTGATACGGATAAATTAATGTTCATTTCATTGATTCATCGAAATTGCAAATATATGATCGGCAATTCAATTCGTTCTCAATATTCGATTTAAAGATTATTATTAAATATCGAGTATTTTCATAAAATTTTCTTGATATATTAAATGTATCGTGATATCGATTGAGAATTACAAGAATTCTTATTCATAGTTTATTAAATATATAGAGAGAATGTCTCGATGGTTAATTTAGTTAATATTTATGAATTGATTATAATCATGATTTTAATGATAAATATTATGAAATATATAATTAAAGATATATATTAACAAGAATGAGTTTTGTTTCTCCATCCAGAATTATTTGTAATAATCTTGGATTCATAAATTTTAATTATTATATTTTAATTTCTTCCCTTTTTTCATCATTCTCTTCGAAAGATTTAATAATCTCTCGTTTATTCACATTTTCAATGTTTTATTTTTAGTTTCATGGCAATCCACAATTTCTTTATAAATTTGTATACAAAGATGATATCAATCGCGAAAAAATAAGTAAGCTGAACTGGAAAATCGTCAAAAGATAATTGCAATCGAGTTTTATGAACCAATTGTGAGGACAATCGAATATGAATTCAGTGAAAGCTGTTTACACGAGGCCTGTTGCTTTACGTTCGCGCCATAAAATTCAGCGAGCGCGTTTTACGAACACGGTCATCGCTGATTTAGGATTTATACGAGAGACTTTAATGGACGATATACAGTGGATGACATTAAAGGAGGAAACCATCTGACCATAGCCGGATGTATAAATTCTGACATGGTTGCGTGCATCGTCAACAAATCTCGCGGAACTATAAGAATTTTTCATCTAACGTGGAATAATGAATCGCGCGTTTTTTCTCGATGCACGAAAAAGTAAAACAATCTTTCAAAGTTCGAAAAAAAACTTTGAAATGGAACTCGAAAATTTACAAACCCTTAATCAAAAGAATTTCAATCCTATTTTTTTCAAAAACCTATCAGCTTCACATTTACACTTTCATTCATTACCAATTCATTAATACAATTCTCAAATTAAAGAAAATTCCAATTATTCTTAAATGCAAATAGAAATTTTCCGCTTTTCTCTCTTCTTATTTTATATTTTTCGAATGGAAATGTATTTCTCAGTTCTAATTTTTCAATACTTTTCAAAACTTTCGAATCAAAAGAATTCATGGATTATCTAAATAAAAATTTTCATCCACGTTTTCTTTCTCTCTCTTTTTCTCCTTTTTGTTCGTCACGATTTTTCAAATACTGAAAAACACATTTCTCAGTTCTAATTTTTCAATACAACTTTCGAATCAAAAGAATTCCTAGACTATCTAAATAAAAATTTTCATCCACATTTTCTCTCTCTCTCTCTCTCTCTCCTTTTTGCTCGTCAAGCGATTTTTCGAATAGAAACACATTTCTCAGTTCTAATTTTTCAATATAACTTTCGAATCAAAAGAATTCCTAGATTATCTAAATAAAAATTTTCATTCACATTTTCTCTCTCTCTCTCTCTCTTTCTTTCTCTTTCTCCTTTTTGTTCCTCACGCGATTTTTCAAATACTGAGAAACACATTTTTCAGTTCTAATTTTTCAATACAACTTTTGAATTAAAAGAATTCCTAGATTATCTAAATAAAAATTTTCATCTATGTTTTCTCTTTCTCTTTCTCTCTTTCTCTCTCTTTCTCCTTTTTGTTCCTCACGCGATTTTTCAAATACTGAGAAACACATTTCTCACTTCTAATTTTTCAATACAACTTTAAAATCAAAAGAATTCCTAGATTATCTAAATAAAAATTTTCATCCACATTTTCTCTCTCTCTCTCTCTCTCTCCTTTTTGCTCGTCAAGCGATTTTTNTCTAATTTTTCAATACAACTTTCGAATCAAAAGAATTCCTAGATTATCTAAATAAAAATTTTCATCTATGTTTTCTCTTTCTATCTTTCTCTCCTCTCTCTCTTTCTCCTTTTTGTTCGTCACGCGATTTTTCAAATACTGAGAAACACATTTCTCACTTCTAATTTTTCAATACAACTTTAAAATCAAAAGAATTCCTAGATTATCTAAATAAAAATTTTCATCTATGTTTTCTCTTTATATCTTTCTCTCCTCTCTCTCTTTCTTCTTTTTGTTCGTCACGCGATTTTTCAAATAGAAACACATTTCTCAGTTCTAATTTTTCAATACAATTTCGAATTAAAAGAATTCCTAGATTATCTAAATAAAAATTTTCATCCACATTTTCTTTCTCTCTCTCTCTCCTTTTTACTCCTCAAGCGATTTTTCGAATGGAAACGCATTTATTTCTCGGGAACGCGAGCGTGGTACGGAGTCACGACGCGGATGCACGTCTTATATACCGGCGGATTATTTTTGTTGGTCAGGAATCTCCCTCGGATCAGACGTCCGACTCGGCCTCCGTATATTTATGGCCGTCGTATCCTTCTCGTCGGCTCTCTTTTCCCCCCCATCCTATTTCTCTCTGCCCCGTGTATAGGAACATTTTAATGGATGGATCGAAGCGCGGATACGCGAACCTCTGTTCTCGCCGCCTGTCCTCCTCTCGAAACTTGCGAGGGTATTGGTATCGGGAGTGGATGCTATACCATTCTTCGGTCCCGTGAGAGACGGTCGATGAGAATCCCAGAATCCGTGACCACTTCGACGAATCGACCCGACTCTCTGCTCTGTCGATTTTAATCAACCGTTCCAGTTGTCGGTTATAACAAAATTTACAACGTTCGCGCACATATTGGATTGAAACGTTACCAGTTAGTCATCCGATATATCTTTGCATGCTTTACCTTTTCCAAATTCATTCATCCGGATATGAAATTCTATCACATGAAAAATTGTAAACGGAAATACAATAGTAATACTAGATAGAAAAGATAAGTTGAAGTTACTTTTATAAGAGACTCGAAGTTTCTTGCGCAGAAAAAAAAATTTAACTTTCCATAAATCAACGGATACTTGTCTTTGCCGCTTGTTACTTTTATTTATTTACTTTCGAAGGAGATCTCATCTCGAACGATCGATCCAGTGGCCAAGAAGAAACCATTAACATCTATTCAATCGATATCCAGATCAAAGATTTCTCAATATTCTTATCCACCGATTATCTATCGATTATCTATCTGATTTCACCCAAGTGCAAGAAAGGATCGTAAAGAAGATCCAGAGGCGAATCGCGAGCGGAATCCCACGGATGGGTGGAAAGAAATAAGAGCGTGCCCTTCTGTCGTCGGCCGAAAAGGCCTTCCTTTTCCTTACCTAGTCTGAGGAATCCCGTATTTGATGCCAACGCCGACCCGCGGTAGCGCCTTGATCACCTTTTTCACCGTCGCCTGGTCCGGGAACGCGAACAGGATCGAGGCTGCGGGCAAAAAGGCGTTAAAGTGCGGATTATAAGCGGTGCCAATCCACGGTTGGTTGACGGGCCGTGTGTCAATCGTTGGATGGAATGGCGGATGGCGGGGCAAGGACGCCGTTTCTTGCACGCATCGCTGTTGCGGGGATCGTTCTTGTGCTCATAAGGGGGATGGCTCATAAGGAATTGTCGTTGGCTGATTGCCTTCTACGAATTAGGCCGGGATGATGCATGGTCGAGAGAGAAACGAGATGGTGGTGGATCTTTGGAACGAGCGATCCTTGGAGTTTTGAGTTGAGTGGAAGAGAGTCATTGGAAAAGGAAAGAATGGGAAGAAATTTATTGCGTATTACTTTAGATTATTATCGATTTGTTATGTTTCTGGGCAGGAAGCTTTTGTAACAATTCAATGTTACCCTAAGACTGAATTAAAAATCTAAAAATCTCTCGTTGTGTAAAATATTCGTGTTATAATATTATCGAGTAACGTAAGATTCCTCTATATTGATTATTGGAATACATTATTTCTTCGTTGATTGAATATATAATCATAAGTGAAAAAGCTTGAAGATTAAAAAATTATAAAATCATAAGAACGTGTAACTATATTTAATTCCTTTCCTTTTTAAACGAATAATAGAGATATTCGCATTCACGTGTGCTTGTTTCGATCCTATTCCACCGTGTATTCCATAAATTGAACAAATCCACCTACGTATACTATATTTCTGTCGAATCGCAGAGTATAATTCATCGAAACGTTGGCTCAAGGCTGGTTTAGTACGCATTTAGAACGTGGTCGGGCTCGATGTGAAAATATGAAAAGGGGGGAACGCGATGGACTTAATTTCACGGCTTTAATAGCATCGCTGAGACTCCCTCGAGAGTTCAAAGGGTGGCGTGCGAAGAGACAGTTACCATAAATACTTGCCGGTAATTTATGTAAGTTCGAATAAAGGACTGGGATACACGGAGTGGTCGGTCTTAATCAACGAAGAAGTATAATAAAAGGCACGATCACGTAGATAGACGCGCGAAATCAAAGAATTTCCTGACCCCGTTTCTTATAGTTATATGAATAGCGAGGCTCTCGCTTGGTGGGTCTTAACTTCTGGTTCTTCTGGTACGCGGCCGTTCCGCGAATTAACGTGTTCCGCGACAAATGAATACGTCTCGAGGCGTGCCTCCTCTCGTAAAGGAAAATAGTGAATGGAACGAAATTTACGTGATGGTTGTTAAGTGGAATATATATGGTGTATATAAAAGAGTTAAAATGTTGAACGTGTTTATTAAACGGAACGTTTTTATGACGTTAAACACGATCTATGATCACCGATGCGGATTCTAATGCGAATGCTAACGCGGATTAAATTAAAATTAATATAAATATCGGATTTTCCTTTTCTTTAGAATTTATATCCAACGAGAGTTAGTAAACTTTTGAAACAATGAACTTTTGAAATAAATGTGAACGAAATTTAACAATTGAATAATTAATCACTAATTCAAAATTCATAATTCTTGATGATGATGTAATAATGGCGAGAAACGAACTAACTTCAGGTTATTCGTTATAGGTATATGTGAACAAGTTTCCACTCATTTCTCTAACTACGAACCACCACACGAATGATATTCCGCCGGTTCATCGAAAGTTAAGGGGGAGGGGGAATATCAGATTAGAATCAGGAGAATGTCCAGAGATGAAATTTATCTACGGCCAGGAGAAAAATAATCAGCGGGATTGCGGGCCCGGCAGAGGTCTCAGGTATACCGACAATTCCTGCGACGTTTTGTTCGAATACGCGCATTACCAACGAACCCTACGATTCGAGGGAACGACAACTATATTTCAAGAGAAACGCCACGATGTTGCGCCATCCTCGTGGAATGTTTTAACACCTCGCTATGAAATCGAGATAACGAAGGCCTCTCCTATCCCGTGTGATATTTCTCCTTTTGTTTCACGTCTTCTGAGATGGAGTAGATTCGCTTTCTCACGTGAAGAACTTGGATAAAGAATTTTAATTATTTCTAAGCTTAATAAGTTTCCATAAATTCTAATAAGCTCCAAATTGTTTCCTACTAAATATAATTTCCTACTAAATAACGCGGAACTCGATATATAACATTATGAATTTTTTAAAAATTTGTAACACGAAAAGAAATTAAAATTCCAAGATCCAAAGTATATTAAAAAGATTACTAGATATCCAATTCATTTAATCGAAGATGCAAATAATATCGAATCTTTTATTATTTAATTTTAATTATTTCTAAGCTTAATAAGTTTCAATAAATTCTAATAAGCTCCAAACTACTAAATATACGCAGAACTCGATATATAACATTATGAATTTTTTAAAAATTTGTAACACGAAAAGAAATTAAAATTCCAAGATCCAAAGTATACTAAAAAGATTACTAGATATCCAATTCATTTAATCGAAGATGCAAATAATATCGAATCTTTTATTATTTAATTTTAATTATTTCTAAGCTTAATAAGTTTCAATAAATTTTAATAAACTCCAAACTGTTTCCTACTAAATATACGCGGAACTCGATATATAACATTATGAATTTTCTAAAAATTTGTAACACGAAAAGAAATTAAAATTCCAAGATCCAAAGTATATTAAAAAGATTACTAGATATCCAATTCATTTAATCGAAGATACAATATCGAATCTTTCAGAAACTGAGTAAATCATCATGAAATTTCAAATTTTTACTCGCACAGCTTCCTCGAAACGTGCGCCGATAACAAACTCGAGGAGATATTTTGTGCATTTTTATCTGGAGGAAGAATATTGGGGAGAAAGAAAGGGGCAGCAGGTGTAGGGCAGGCATTGGTTGATAAATCGGCGGCGAAAAAACGGATACCGTAACGCGGTCCAAATATTTATCGCGTAAAAAAGCAGAGGGGGTCGCACACCTCGCGACGAGCTCCGGATTCCATTTCCATTTTGCCGGATTAGATCACGCCGTGTGAAATAACGCACGGGTCGGCCGCAGCAAGAAACGGAATGCGCGCCCCCTTTCTGCAAAGGGGCCGCCGCCCCCTTTCAGAGAACGAACGAGGCGAATCGCACGACTTACTTCGGCTGGCCAGGAATATCTCGATGGCCACGTTCTGGAGCAGATATCGCCGCGAGAATATCGCGCGCACCTCCGAGAAGTACCATTTTCCGTGAAGATGATCGCAGTACTTGAGCACCTGGAAGAAGAATGAAGAAATTTTTGTGATTAGTGAAATAATCGACGCAATAATTTTAGTAATACAATGTTATTCGAGATAAGGATTGGAGTTGGAATTATTTATTGAGATTCGAATGATATTTTATAAATCAATAAATATGTTACGAGATTATTAGAATTATCCTTTTTTTATTAGAAAGGATGATCGATATTTATTTGAAATAATTGTTTGATAATTGTATGTAGCTGTTTAAGTAAATGGAAAATGGATGAATAAATGAATTGTTATTTCTTTGTTAAATACTGTTAAATTGTAATAATATGTGTACCTTTTTTTTTTCAAACAGTTCAAATAATATTTGCATAATTTATTGTTTATTTAAAAGGGTAAAGATACATATTTGAATATTTTTATTAAATTTATACACCTTATTAGGAGATTAAACGAAATAATGAATCATTTTTAACACATATTCGTGTTATAATTCGCTGCAAAGATAAGCAGTTTAGTACTCGTGTTTCAAGAGCCCGTAGTATCTATACAAAAAATATTCATTAAAAGGAAGCTATTTTTTATGAAATTATCTCAACCGTAAATCCTGTAATGAGAACATAAATAAATTATACTTTTTCTTCTCTTTCTTCTCTTTCTTCAAATTCTCATAGAAGATTTCTTTCGATAATTACAACGTTAATTTAAAACATGATGAATTAATAATTCTCTACAATATCTTGAATCTCAATTATAATAATTTCATGCATATATTATCGATTGATCATCACTTTCTTCGCAAATCCGTTAACACAACCTCCCCAAAATTTCTCATCGTCGAAACCTCTAAAATTGCTCTACAATTCTTCAAACTCGAAGTCGAAAAATCAATCACAATCTCATCGTCAAAATCCTTTAACCACCACCACCACCACCACCGCTAAATTTCTTCAAAAATCATCTAAAATCATCCCATTGCACCACGCCAATCGCACGATCCAAAAATCCAAAAAATTTTTCAAATTAAATGAGAATCTCGAAATCTCCCCCCAAAATACTCATCATCTTTATACTAGCATCGAAGAGGGACGAAAGTCGGGGTGCGATCGCATGGCTGACCAGCTAAGTATGCAAGCTGGATTCAGTGAAGTGTGATGTGATATAGTGAGACCGGTGCCGGTCGCAAGATGGCCGTCATAGTAGGAGGAGCCTCCTGCTGAGCCGAGAATCGATCCAGGACTTCGCGGGCTTGCGCTCTCGAACGAGTCGTGAACGAGTCTCGTGGGCGAAAAAAAAAAAATAGGGGGAGGGGGTAGGGAGAAAGAAAGGGGTCTCCTTGTGGCGGAGGAGCCCAAAGGTGGACGAAGAGAAAAAGCAATTTATCTCTGGCCACGGCCAACGGCCGTCTTTCAATTTTTCCCGCTTTAACGAGCGCCGCCACTATGTCCTCACGCGCGGCAAATGAAATTATCCTCGATGCGACGCTTCGCGGCCATCCTCCATAGTGAGGAGATCGTATCGTCGTTATACACCCGAAGAACTTGAGAGAAGAATGCCAATTAATATCATCATCAAGTTGAAAATTGATGTCGAAAAGGTTGGAAGATTTTTTGTGTGTTAAGTTTAACTCAAGATCAAGTTAAAGTAAATTTGGAATAGATTGTCGGCTGATTAAAATTAATGCTGAGAATTGGAAGATATCGTAGGAAATGTGATGGATACTGAAAGATTTGCTGAGAGTTTAAGTTCGAGAGCGAATTATTTTAATATGTTTGGATGATTTGTTGATGAGATTAAAGATATTCTTTAAATATAAATGAAAAAATTGGAAGTAATTGATAAAGAAATAATGTAAATTCTTCAAAGAGAAATATAGTTAGAGAAGTTAGTAGCGATTATCATGTAGAAATTATTAATTAAATAAATATCGATTCCAGAATTTTCAAGGATTAAATAGGATCTGGATATTTTAATATGATTCATTTTAATAAATGAAACGCATTAAACGAGCAAACAAATAGATTTCTACGAAGAGTGGAGAAGAATCCTCCCTACGAGATGAAATGACATTAGGGTGCAGGACACTCGCATCAAAATCTAATTACAAGCGTATAAGCGGCTTGAAAAACCTCTGGGGACCATAAACATCGCGTCGACTCAGAAGATTAAGTAGAACGCGTGCTGTTTGTATTAACAAATCATCAAAAAGACTTCGTAATTTTCTTATTCTTCGTAATATTCTTATTGGATTATCGTGACAATTTTGAAAAAATAATAAATCATTTGTATTCGAGGATCAAAGTATTTTTCATCGCGAACGAAATGGAAAAATCACTTATCACAATTCTTCGATAATTATTATAACACCGCAGTTTTAAGATATTCAATTAAAGATTCGACTAAATTTTAAGTTAAATATTATAGATATGTGGGTAGAAATTGTATCGTAGCGGAATCCAGTCGATACCATGCGCGAGATTGGAAAAAAGGAGAGTCGAGGGGGTGGTTGCACAGAGCCAACCCCTAAGAACGATTGCGCACGCTCTTCGTAAACACTGTCTGAAACCGATAAGGTGTGTCGTGATACGGAATTCATTATTCGGATGATCGCAATCCGAATACACGGATATAACACGTATACATCCTATTATATCACTGCTTAGATCAGACAAATCTTAATTCATTTTCACTTACATAATATAACATTCCATAAATTCTAGGAACAATTAAATTCACAATTAAAATCCCAACTATATCAAAATCTACACTGATTTACAAGAAAACATAGATTAAAAAATCGCTAGTAGAATTGCATTTATATAAACTTGAAAATGGACAAACACTACTACTATAATTGGATAAATTTATTAATAAATTTCTTCTTCCCGTTCAAATAATCAAAATTCGAAACGAATAGCTTCAATTTTCCGAAAATTTCGTTCATCAAACGCAAGTGAATCTCGAAACTCGATCGAAGTGACAAAATCAACGTATGAACCTCCCATCACACCTTCTCCAAACAAAAGCAAGCAAAAAGACCCCTCCCCCCTCCAAAAAAAACTATCATCCATCTAAATCACGTAGCTCTCTCACAGCTCCCGAAACTTGACCAAAAAGTGAGTCGTTAAAATAACACAGACACCCCTGTTTCCATCCTGTGTCATGGGCACGGGGGGTGGCACCAGTCTAGCGCGAGACTAATATGTTTACACGTTCGATGATGCGTCCGTCGAAGAAAGAGGGACAAAAAGAGAAAGAGAGAGAGAGAGAAAGAGAGAGGGGGGAAACAGAGAAGGGAGCTGTTAAAAAGAGGTGTGCGTCGTCTCTGGCAGAGTGTCAAGTGGTGCGCGCGCGATTAGCAGCGTTCCCTGTGCGGCGTTCATCTCTCAACGAAATCGTATGGCGGCCCAGCACCGCGCCTTTGCGACAATGGGCTCCGTGATGTAACGACATGTGTCGCGTTCACAAGGCCCCCTCCCTCCCCCCTCTGGTGGCTACGTGCGCCATAGGGTACCGTAGAATGGGGCTACCACTTAGCAGGCCGCCTCTATACAACAAACAGATTAAGCAGCGGACAATAATAGACCCCCCGTCCTCCTCGGGTATCGTGGGTTCTCGAGCACCCTCCCGTGATCCTCGTGACGCGAGAACCACTCACGGAAATCACGATACCTCGAGAGCGGGCGGAGTGGATGGTGGTTTATTCGATTCTCGGTGAAGGAGGCTCGAGTGGCTTGATCATTAATTATCGGTGGAGGGGAATGAGGGTTAGACGCGTTTCGTTCGGAGCACCTTTTTTCAAAAGTTAGTACTTTGGGGACGGATGTTTTAGGAAGAGAAATTTTGGCTTGGATCGGGTTTAGGGAGATTTGGATGGGGGGATGTGTGTTTGGATTGGTGGATTTGGATGGAATCCTTGTTGTTGGATGTTGTTTATTTATTTTCCTTTGGTATTTTGTGAAAAATATTAAATCCATATTATAGGAATTCAAGAGATCTGAGATTTCAAGCCTGATTATTTTATTTTTTAATTGGAACTGTACGTGTATATTTAGTTGATCGAACTTGACGAATAAAGTTACTTCAATAATTTATTATTCAAAGCATCGAATAACTATAGTGTTAATAACTATAAATCTTTGACACGAAGAATGGATCAAATATAATAGCTAGGAATAAATATCATTCAAACATTTTAATAAGCAATTGCTAAATTATTTAGAGCAATTTTATTCCAATTTTACTTTTTCAACGATTAATGCCCAAAGTCTTGGTTTATTAAGAAACTGGTTTAACATATAATGGATTAATTCACGAAATATGAAAATTATTCAACGTCCTAGACAACGTAACTATTTCGAAAAAATATTGTCTCCCTCCCTCGTTTCGTGAACGCGCCGAATGATGCGTCGAAAACGTTCGAGAACCATCAAGGCGATCCGCAACGGCAATGAGTTATGCGCGCCACGTGCGTGTTCTCATACCTTTATTACCGTATCTCGCACGAGATAACGCATCGCGGCATCCTGCGGGCAAAGGGCTCCCAGTGATGCAACCAGCCTTCCTGCCCCTAATAAACGTAGAATTGCTACCAGTCGGACGAAACTATAAAAACGATGTGCACCGCGAATACAATTCTCCAAGTACTTCCCTTACACGAATCTTTCAATCATTTGTGCAAATTGAATTTTCCAATTGGATTTTCTTACTATTATGACTTGTTTCTCCATAATCTATGAACGTGAAAAACTAATAAAAAAATTTAAACTTGTTATAATTTTTGAAACGTTTTATTTACAGTGACCATGATCGATTGTGAACGATTGTTGCGATTTCTCAGAAAATTATACATGTAATAAAAAAAGATATTAAAATTTATATATCTACTTTACTCGACAATCGAAGAATTTCAATGAAATTATAAAAAACAAAGCAAACCTACTTCGTCGCATCATTTGAGATTATCGAATAAGAATGGAAACAAAACGATGAATTAACAATTACTTGTGGGCAGTAAATCTAATTATTTTTCAAGAAAATGCATAATTTACCGATAATTTACCGAAGAAGCTTGATTCGTGAGAATTTTTCCGAGTTATTCGAGACGGAATGCGGATCCTTGCCTCGTTGTTAGCTTATGAAAATAATTGGACGAGCTAATGACGTTTCAATACTGTGAACAATATTTCTTCGTCGATCTATATATCGAAGCGTGAGGATATTACGAAACAATGAAATCCATTTTGATTGACAGATGAGATCGTTTTGGACCAATGCTTTCATTGGTTTCTGAATCTGTACCGTAATAGAGGGAGAACGATCATCAACGCACCCATAAACGAGTCTTGGTTTTTATAGAATGATTATGTGTGCATTAGATATTGATCTGATAGAAAATGATTGGATTTCGTTAAAGATATTAGAGTGTAATTTTAAAATTATTATTTTAGAAGATTTTATTATATCGTTATATCGATAAAGATAATAGGTATCCTTTATTTTAAAAAAAAAATCTACGATATTGTCACTATTAAATACAATTCACAACAATCAAAAATATCCGATCCAGATATAAATTGAAATATTGCAAGAAATTCACATATCATTTGAACTTGTAAACTTTTCATATAGACTTCTACTTTTTCTTCAAAAATTTCTTCACATTACCATTTAAAAGAAATTATACATCTAAAAAAATTATACATCTCCAAATTCTGATCCAAATATTAATGAAATGAAAGGAAGAATTAGAATTTCGATATTCCACTCTGAAAAAAGCCTCTCCAACCCTCTAAAACCACAGCCATAATATATCACAAACCATTGCCCTTCAGAAAAGACTGCACGTCTACAAATCTTCAAGCTCTAATCTAAATCTAATCAAAACGTCACAAAGAAAAAGAAAAAGAAAAAAAAAGAAAGAAAAAATTACAATTTCAATTTCTCACAGTTGAAAGAAACTTGCAACACACGTCTTCCAATATACACAACCGAACGGAATTCCGTTTCCTCTTCACGGTAATTTCACGTGAAATTACCTCGTTCTCGAATTTCCTATCTTATATACGCAGCGTAAGCAACCGCGTGATTTCGCAACGCATCGGCTCAGCTCCGTTCATCCAGGTCGAATCGAAAAATCGATCGCGATGCACTCGTGTCATTAAGCATAAAGAGACCGTGAAACGATGCGCCTCACCGGTTCCGCATCTTTCTGTTTCCGAAGCTCAACGACCGGGCCCCACGGATTATTCGGGGGGGGATTACGCGAGGATGTTCATTCGAGCTGATTTACAAGGCCGCCCGCCCGAATATACCAAAAGGCTCGGCCGCCTTTCGCGAGGAGAGGCTTGTCGTCGTCCTCGTCGTCGTCGTCGTCCTCGTTTCTACGCACGGTCGAGAACCTTGCACAATGAGCGAGCCACGCAATAAGAGACCGAGGCTCTTATACCTGCCCGCGTGAAACGAGACTCCATACCGAGATGTTTCGGCAAACTGCATTCGGGATTGCTCTTTTGAGGACTTTGATCTTTCTGGGTTCCGTTGGTTGGGGCGTTAGATACAATCGAGTGGACGGGCAGTCGGTGGAAACGATCCCCTTCGAGAAATTTCACTCGAGACCGTTTTATAAATATCGAAGGTATCTAAGGTGAAGATATAGAAGGTTAGTTATAAATAGTGGAAGGTATGGTGTGTAAGGTTGTTTTATGTAAATGTCGAGAATATCGAAAGTAAAGTTATATAAAATAAATTACGAGAGATATCGTGAAATATCTCGTGTTTTGTAATCCTATAACCGTGGATGTAATATATTCCGTGTGTATTATATTTTATTAATAATTAATTTTCGGAGAATGTGACTGGGCGTTCGTTTCGTCTCTCGAAAATCGGTTTAAGAAAGAAATTATATTTCGTGTAACGTATAATACTGTCCTAATTGTAAATAAATAATTTTTTACACGATTAATTATTAGTTAGAATATAATATAATATAATATAATATAATATAAAATATCTTGTGTTTATATAATGTTTAAATACTTTGCAAGAGAATAAGTCTAAATCGTAATTATAAATTGAAAAGAAGAAAAAAAATATAATATCAAATCAAAATTAAATATAAGACAGAATATTTTCGTAAAATTTTTAAAAAATTGATAATTGCTTTTCGTTTTTCCTTTACAACACGCTCGATATAATATCCTAAGAAACTTTTTCTGCAACAAATGAAAGCCACTCCACGATAGCGCCACTTCGAAGCCGAACCCCAGGTTATCTCGTTGGTGTACAAATAATTCAGATGATAAACGAATTATGTCGAAACGAGATGATGAAAGGCGCGTTTAGGGCACAACGAGGCACCAGCTTCCGCATTAATACGAGGGCTGACGTAGCAGAACGTTTGACCCTTCGTCCCTTGCGCGAAAACAGCATCACGAGAAGGAGATGAGGGGGTGGAGCGTTCGAGAGGGAGAAAGAGATGCACGTGCTCGACTCATGAATCAAGTCGCATTAGCGAGGCATGGTGGGCACCAATCTACCACTCCAACTTCGAGTAGATTGGATTTCTGAACTTTATTCAATTATCCGGCAACGAAGCGGATCCGAGACGAATAGAGCATTGAGAGTTTTTCACGAATTATGTCTGAATGCTCATCTTGTATTTCTTTCGTGCGAGAAAAATAATCAATGGTAATGGATACTCTGATTGAAATTAATTTCGTTGACGCACAATGAATATTTACTTTTTGTATTATCTTTGGAAGATTTGATACTTGCTATTGAATATCATTGAGTATACGAGTATCATTATTATTTCATTTGATTCAAATCTGAAAAAAATATTTTAAAAATACGAAGAAATACATTTTACCATAAAAAAATACACGATGCTGATATACCAAAGATTATACTAAAAAAGAAAAAAATAAACACAAACATTGAAAATTCATGTTTAACAAAACACCAAAATCTTTACAAAAAAAAAAACCAGCAGCTGTTCTAAGATCCACAATATGCTTAAATACTTAGCACTATCCTACAACTATAAATGCCCTTTCAACAACATCGAACGTACGTTCATTCCTATTCATCGAATAAAACGCGCCTACGCTAGATTTCCCCGATAACAGAAGGGTTGAGGAGGTCAAAGAAGAAGAACATGGGACCGTGAACATCCTCATTCGGAGGCTGTAATCTCAAGAATCTTATACGGCCTATCTCATTCAACGTATGGGATATCTCATTCTGTTATCTCGTATTTCTCGAACACAGGTATTTCGCGTCACAGATTTTTACGATCGACGCGTGAAAGGAAACTGGAAAACCGTATCCATCTCGCAGACATTGGCAGATCGCTACTCCTGTTCCCGGGAACATCTGCCAAAGCTTGGCCCGCCATATTGCGACCCGTAAGGGCTGTTTCTCACTCGCGATGGAACAGGAAACTCGTTGTCACGAGCCTTCTGCTTTTTATTCGAACGTCGAATATTCAAATGACCCTCGCGACGGAATTATCGGCTCGAACGATCGTGCGTGGAATCCTCTCGCGACCCCATCGTCTGGACAATGCGTTTGCCTTCACCCTAGGAATTTATTTACGGAACAATCGATGGATTGATACGTCGCAGGAAGGCGCAATCGATGTCTCTTTGTTAGAAACGGAACGAGGAAAATTATATTGGCTCTCGTTGTATTTATATGTCTGGCGACGAGTCAATTTTTTAATTTATACTTGCCGCGTTCTTTATGCAGATTCTTCTTAAAGTAAGTATAATAGTCTACGAGTCGAATAGTGTAAATGAGTATTGAGTACTTGGTATTTATAGACTGCATTTTAAACAGAAATGTATAAAGATAAACAGAAGAAAAGAAAATTCTTTTATACGAATCACTATCGTTTGTTGAATGTATAAATAGAAATATAAATCAATCGTAATTTCATTCTATATTAAATGAACACCTCTAAAAAAAAAAGATATGCATTTTGACAATTGCCTCTAATTAATCTATTATAAGCTAAATATAGCTTATAAAAAATTCTTATAAATTGATAAATAGAATTTTACATCGGATGAAAACCAATAGGCCAAGTTTTCAAACAGAAACTATCAACTATATTTTCAGCATTTACATTTATCGATTGATTCCACTAAACATATTCTTGACCATATTCGAAACTTATTCACTATTCCTGAAAAACCTCTTCTGTTATAAACTATTCTTACCTATTAACAAGCTTCATCCCTCTACCCGAAACATTATTCTCAACGCAATTACCTCCACCGAACGTGTCGATACGACACGTCTCATTCACAACTCGCGCAATTCCATCCTCAATACCACGCAACTTACCCTACAGATAAGATCCAGTCCACCATCCCCCGTTCACGACGAAAGGAACCGCGCTAAATAACTAAAGCGGGATGAAAAATACGACGAACGGGTCGAAAGGGTGTGAGAGGCCCGTGTGACGGTGCGCGCGGTGCCTTGGCAAGAGAGGAGGGACGACAGGGGGCGTGGCGAAACCGCGCACGCTCCACGTGACCCTGTCGTTGCTGAAGGCGGGACTTTGGAAACCGGCACACAACTACAACGTCAGTGGAACGGGTTGGTGGTCACCACCGGTGCTCTCTCTGTCGTCGCGCGCGCGGAGCACCTCGAGTCGCGCTCGTACAACACCTGCCGACGCCCGATCCAACTAAACGCTCGGCCACGTTTTCTTCGTTTCCGTGACTCCTTCTCGAGAGTGATTTCCACCAATTAATATCGTCGCGATAATCGTCGTATCTGATCCGAAACCGGGCCGGATTTTAGGGAAAAAGAACTCGAGACTATGGACAGTAAAGCGAAATTGATCGGGATGACGCGTGTCCACGCGAAAGAATGAGACCTGAATCGGTTCCAGGGAACAGTCCACCAGGAATCTTCACCGTTATCGGGACAGGATACCGCGACAACATGCTGTTGCCTCAGGACATGATGGCAGCCCAGTCGAAGATGCTGTATCAGATGAACAAGTATTACGGTGAGCGGGTTCAAGCTCGCATGGGCCAGGTACAGAAGACCATCAGAGAAGTGTGCAAGGTTGTGCAGGAGGTGTTGAAGGAGGTGGAGGTGCAGGAGCCGCGGTTCATCTCCTCTTTGACAGAGTGCAACGGCCGGTACGAGGGCCTCGAGGTGATCTCGCCAGGCGAATTCGAGGTGGTCCTCTACCTGAACCAGATGGGAGTGTTCAACTTCGTCGACGACGGCACCCTGCCGGGTTGCGCCGTGCTCAAGCTCAGCGACGGCCGGAAGAGGTCCATGTCGCTCTGGGTCGAGTTCATCACCGCCTCCGGCTACCTGTCCGCGCGGAAGATCCGCTCGAGATTTCAAACGTTGGTGGCGCAGGCATGCGACAAGTGCGCCTACAGGGATTCCGTGAAGATGATAGCGGACACGACCGAGGTGAAGCTGAGGATCAGGGAGAGATACGTGGTGCAGATCACGCCGGCGTTCAAATGTTCGGGCGTTTGGCCGAGATCGGCCGCCCATTGGCCGATCCCTCACATACCTTGGCCGCACCCTAACCTCGTCGCCGAGGTCAAGACCGAGGGTTTCGATCTGCTGTCGAAGGAAAGCGTGGCGCTTCAAGGGAAGCAATCGGCAATGGAGGGTGACGCGTGGGTTCTCTCGTTCACGGAAGCGGAGACGAGATTGTTGCAAGGTGGCTGCCGCAGGCGGTGCCTCAGCATTCTCAAGACTCTGAGGGATAGGCACCTTGACCTTCCCGGAAATCCGGTGACCAGCTATCACATGAAGACGTTGTTGCTCTACGAATGCGAGAAGCATCCTCTGGAGACCGAGTGGGACGAGGGTTGTATAGCGGATCGTATTAATGGAATTTTCCTGCAACTGATATCCTGCCTCCAGTGTCGAAGATGCCCTCACTATTTCTTGCCTAATTTGGATCTGTTCAAAGGGAAATCGCCCAGCGGCTTGGAGAACGCGGCTAAACAAGTGTGGAGACTGACGAGAGAGCTGTTGACCAACAGCCGTGCCCTCGAAAAGCTTTAGCTGATAATTTTTGCTTTTAAAGCTTCCAGCTAAAGAGGAGTGTATAATAAAGAGAGAGAGAGAGAGAGAGAGAGAGAGAGAGAGAGAGAGAGAGAAAGAGAGTGAGAGAGAGAGAGTTTCGCTTTGAAGGTACTCGGTGACTCGCGTGAATCACGGACTTTCAGAATCTGCTGCTTTCGCGACGGTTCTTTGCCTGCTTTTTACCCTTACAGAAGTCTTACTTTCACTCGATATATCTTCTTGCACAAGATTCAGCGTGCCAGGGTATCGGGGATGGTGTAACGAATCTGTCTATTGACTTTATCCCCTAATTTTTTTTCCCTTTCCTTTTTCCCTTTCCTTTTTTCCTTTCCTTTTTCTTTTCTTTTTTTTTTTTTTTTTTTTGTTTCACGGTTCCGTAAATTTTCTCTATGATTCCATGACACGATTAACGCGAGTCGAACGTTGATTATTATTATCGGTGCAAGCGTTTCGTTCCAGTGCAATATTCTACTTTTCCTACTGTTTCGTTTCGCGCGAAAGTAATGAGTAATTGTTAAGTTTAACTCGTTAATTTATACGTAAAAATTTCAAGGAAGGCACGTTAAAACTTTCTACGTTAATGGCTACGTTAATCGAGTCCGAAATCGACTGGATGCGCGTAAGATTTAAAGGATATCATTACCGCATTTTTTTTTCTTTTTTATTTTTTATAATCATCAAAGCTTTCGCTTGGAGCGGAATCTCTTGCTTATTTAACGAAGCGATTTCTCCGTGTAGAGTTGCGATACGAAAGCGATTTAATTAAGTACCCGATTAGTTGCTCTTACTCGTCTTGTGGCTGATGCGAAACGTTGCGCGATCCATTCTCGTTAAATTAATCCAATGTTTATAATGAATTAGCGATTGAGCTGCCGTCGGTAGCCATACCATATTGTTGTATGTAAATACTTTTTTATATTATTTAAACGATATTTATTTCTACTTCGAATCATTGTTCGAACATACATGATGTAAATAATTAATAAATACATTTCGTCTCATAAAAGGAATAATTAGTTGCGACGATTTTAATTCTTTTCGAGTTAAATTATGAATCATGAAAATCCGAATTTATTATTATACGTTATTAATATTTGTTTGATATTTTGAAACAAATTCTTTTATTATTGTAATCGTGAAAAATATTCCAAGAATCCCTTATTCCATAAAAACGCATTTTTTAACTCTTTTTTAAATCAGAAAATTGCAAAATTTCATAAACTCTCTAAAATTTGTCATTTAATTTAAAAAAAAAATTAAACAATTCAGTACAAAACATTTTCATTTAATGATAATCTATTTCTTTAGAGATTTTAACTTTAAAACATTAATCAATTATTACGTAAATGATCTTAAGAATTAATGACGCTAATTAATTTATTTAAAACTCTACTAATATATCAGAAGAACAAAAATTTCTGAGTAAATAGACATGAAATAAAATTTGTAAATTCAAAATATTCTTTCTTACCGAAGTTATTAAAAAAAAAAAAAAAAAAAAGAAACATTTAATTAGAGCCAACAACATCTCGTCCTCGATTTCCAATCGCTTTCACAACTTTTCTTCCCACAAAGGAGATATCCACGAACCGTAAAATTTGTATCTTAATAACCAAGATCCAAAATAATTCGCCATTCAATTTTCATCCCGGTCAGTTCGAAACGATACCATAAAAACCACTACGGAATAATTATTATCTACGATATTAACACTTGTGCGCACGCGCTGGCAGGATACCGTAACGGCCTCGTCAAATGCATCGCTACCGAGCGTTTCATGGTCGCTGTACGCCTACGACGATTCCAAGTCGTACCCCTTATCTTAATTCCTCCCAGAAATTCCCATCCTTATCTCCTCGGCGCAATGACATTCGTTAACCGATGGCCACTCACTCTCCGCGCGCCGATCGTTCAGGAATTTACGTTATTATTATTGCCCCGTAAAAACAAAGTGAGAGGAAAAAAGCGTTTCCCAACGGCGAATTGCTCGTTCGCTCGCTCGCGCGCGGCCACACTTTACGCGCGCCGTATCGTTCTCCCGCGATTTACAAGCCTTAATGGTAGAGTTATCGTTGTCGTCGTTAAACGTAAAATTTTATACCGAGTTCTTTTCCCCGCGGCGTGCGTCCGATTCTCGATAAAAACGATCGTAAACGAAACCCTCTCCTCTGTTAAATATCCGATAATTCAACTCGACTGGATCTCGTCAGTGTCGCCGCGCGAATTTCTTACTTCAACCGAATCACCTCTTCGCGAGACCGAGGCCTATATAAAGATAGCCACAACGTGTATCCTTCGAAAAACATCGAACGAGTTTTGTATCCACTCCGCCGAATATCGGGAATCGGAAACGACTAAAAATCTTCCTCCAGTGTCGCCACGATGCCCTCTCTCCTAGGTAACGGCGGAATCCACGACTATGACGAAAATTTCGGGGTTCGATGGGGTTGCGGAGGAATGGCCGAGCAGGACACGGTATCCATGGGCACGAAATAAAACGAGTCGAAGATCTGCATAATTCATGGGGGGAAAAAGGGATCGCTGTTTTGGGGTTAGCCGCCGCCGCCGCCGCCGCCGCGGCGTTCGTCCTTCAGCGTGGCGTTTGTAACGTATAGGTAGAGCGGTTCGTGCGGATCGATCGAGTCGGTTCACCGCGACAGGCCACGCCTGCGCGGTTCACGGGGCGCGCGATTCGTGGAACCGCGCGGCACGGGGGCGTGGCCTGTCCGAGGGGGCGGAGCTAGGCAACCGCACGCCTTCGTGCGGTTCAAAGAGCGGTGGCGCGGAGGAGGTGAACGACAGCGCAGTCGACTATCTGCTGTGGGACGGAGTCGCTCGTACACCTTTACCTCCCGCTTCTCGCTCGTGTCTCCGTGACCGGCGAAGCAACGGCGCGAGGAACAAACTTTTTTCGACGACCGATTCCTCATTCTCGATCCGTTTTTCCATCGAGTAGCTCGATTCGAAGAGAGGAGCAAGTTAGTCCAGGAAGAAGGGAGAGAGAAACAGATGGGAGAACGAGGAAGGACTGGTCCAACATCGTAAGAAGATTGGTCGATCGGGAGGTGTGGAGGCAGAATGCGGTGATCGAGAGTAATAAACGTGATAAAGAAGCCTTCGAAAGGCTTCAGGCCGAGGCAACCATGCTGTTGCCGGCCGATATGCTGGCGGCTCAATCCAAGATGGTGTACCAGATCAACAAGTATTTCGGGGAGCGTGTGATGACCAGGAAGAGCCAGGTGATGAAGACGATCCAAGAGGTGTGTCGCGTGGTTCAGGACGTGTTGAAGGAAGTCGAGGTGCAGGAGCCAAGGTTCATCTCCTCGTTGACCGATTACAACGGCCGTTTCGACGGCCTCGACGTGATCTCGCCGACGGAGTTCGAAATCGTGATTTACCTGAATCAAATGGGGGTCCTGAATTTCGTGGACGACGGAACGTTGCCCGGATGCGCGGTGCTGAAGCTTAGCGACGGACGAAAGAGATCCATGTCCCTTTGGGTGGAGTTCATCACCGCGTCCGGTTACCTGTCCGCCCGGAAAATTCGCTCGCGATTTCAAACGTTGGTGGCACAGGCCTGCGACAAGTGTGCCTATAGGGACTCCGTGAAGATGATAGCGGACACGACGGAAGTAAAACTCCGGATTAGGGAGAGATACGTGGTACAAATAACGCCGGCGTTCAAGTGCGCCGGCCTCTGGCCCAGATCGGCTTCCCATTGGCCCATCGCGCACATACCTTGGCCACATCCTAATATCGTGGCCGAGGTGAAAACGGAGGGTTTCGACATGTTGTCGAAGGAGTGCATCGGTTTGCAGGGCAAACAATCGGCTATGGAGGGCGACGCCTGGGCGTTATCCTTCATAGACGCCGAGAACCGTTTGCTTCAGGGTGGTAGCAGGAAACGTTGCCTGAGCATTTTGAAAACTCTGAGGGACAGACACCTCGATCTACCCGGAAATCCGGTGACCAGCTATCACATGAAAACCTTGTTGCTCTACGAATGCGAGAAACACCCGCACGAAGCGGAATGGGACGAAACGTGCATCGCGGATCGCATCAACGGGATCCTTTTGCAATTGATCTCTTGCCTGCAGTGCCGCAGGTGTCCGCACTATTTCTTGCCGAACCTGGATCTGTTCAAGGGCAAGTCGCCTAGCGGTTTGGAGAACGCGGCTAAGCAAGTGTGGAGACTCACCAGGGAGTTGTTGACCAACAGTCGTGCTCTCGAGAAGCTATAGTGAAGAAGAAATTTCTGATCTGTGCGAGAGGATGAGGAAGAAAATCTCTTGTTGTGCTTCGAGAAGAAGTTATGGGTACCTGAAATCGGGGGCCTACTTCTGGAAGAGAATCTTCGAGCAAGCTGCTCGATCATGATTAACGCGTTCGTCGAAGAATCTCGTTTCGAAGCCGCGCAGTGTGTGCCCGCGAGGGGAATAATCGCGCGTGTGTGATTTTGTGGAGGACGCCGAGGACGATCGAACCAGTGCCATAAATACGCCGACGTTGACAGTCTCTGTTTCAGTTTCGAATCGCCGACGGCAATCGGATCACGATACTCCAACCACGATACTTAACTCTTAACCGGTGTTACTCGATTTCGTCGCTACGTTTATATACTGGTCCCAATTAAGAGACGACGATAGAGATATTATATCGATACGATTGTGATTGTTATACGATGAAGAAATCGTAGATCGAGATGAATATTATGTGAACACGAGATGAATACGATAAATAGTTGGAGAAGTATGGACGAGAATGAGTGAAGAACCGCGTTTCAGACTCACCGGTTGTGGGTTATGCTTGATTCATCCTGTCTCTTTCCCTCTGTCATTATGTACATACTACTTGCAAAGATATTTATTGAAAGTGTACACGAGATATGTGAAATACAATGCTATTTATATGGAACCGTAGCCGGAGTCGTCATTTTCGTCCGTCGAGGGCAACACACACCCACTCCTCACCTACTCGAAATTCACATGGAAGTCTAACTGTCGTAAATATTGTTTGAACGTATCGTTAAACGGTTTCTCGAGCATTAAACCCTGGCTTGGTTAGTCCTCGTAAATATTGTTCTCGCGTCTTTTTGCCACTAAATATCGAGACTTTCGAATAAAAATCGAATAAAAATTCCACTTCTTGGTTCAAGCTTAAATAGTGTTCGAAAAAAAAAATAACGTCCCGATAAAGTAGCACTCTGACAAGTTTGTATTTCTTTTTTGTGTGTTTCATTTCTTCGGTTTCGAAGAAATCTTTGTCGCCAAAGCAATCTTCCATTTTTGTTTGTCTTCGATACATAAAATTAAACGAAGACCGAGTTTTCAAGTGTGAGATATTGAATTTTCTAGTCTTGACGATTGTAAATGTATTTTACGCTTAAATATCACTTTTAGTTATTTTTAGCGAAGGTTCAGTTTCCGGTTTTTCTATTGGTTTTGTTCGTCGATAAGCAAATTGCATTTTATCGCCACGAGGAAACTTTGCTCGTTATTTATACGATTCGGATTGTATACTGCTTTTTTCAAACATAGAATCCTTATTGTGTTTATCTTTGTGGAGTATGAGAATTATTTGTTATGCGGTAATATTCATGAAACATTAACTAACATAAACTCGCGAATAATGAGATTATGATTTCTGTGTTGCAAAAGATGTTAACGCAAGATGTAACGCATGTTACGATTGATGAAAGATTACGTAATACAATATTTTGATAGATTTTTTAATAACTGCACGACACCGCACAAATTCACAGATAATATTGGAATGAAACAATATCGAAATTTGTTGAAATTTCGAAAATCTGTATCAAAGAAATCACACGATGTACTCATATTATAATTTAACAAAAGATATGGAAAATTATTAAGAAATTAACCAGACGTCGATTATCGTGTCATGCTATCGCGCCAACGAATATTTTCTAATTTACATTTTCTAATCTACAACGCAATTTAAAATAAAAAAAAAGAAAGAGGCGACTGTACAACGATAAACACCTATAAAAACTGATCTCTAAATTAGCAAAAACAAAGATCTCGGAATGTCTAAGACGGTGTAAAAAGCGGATATAAGCGCGTATAATCGATTTGCTAATGCGAGTGACGGGAACGAGCTGAAAACTGGCAGAAGTTCAAACAACAATCGTTGATATTCGTGTTTACCACGCGTGCATCAAGGAAATTTCATAATAGTCCACGCGTTTTAATATATTCTCGCGTGAGATCCGTTATAATCTGCATCAATAAGCGTCCAACCGATCTTGATTATCTATCGAGATATTGATGAATTAATTAATATTTCTATCTAGTAAACATAGTGATGAATACACATCGTGATTATTAATAAGAGAAATTTTACTAAGCGAAATGAGTAAAATTTGAGCAAAAAAAAAAAACGTGTTAATATCATTAATTATTCATTTATTATTACGTGTCATTTCGAAATTTTTCATTTTATATTTGATTCGACTAGCTCTCTTTGATCTATGTCGATGTTAATTCGCGAAACGTTTATGCAAATTGAAATGTGTTCATTAATTGATAAAAGATTATATATATGTGTATATATGGTTAGATGTATAAGTTTAAATTTATTTTTATATTTTTATTCGATAAATACTTATGGAAATTATTACCATTTAAGTATGTTTCTTCTGTGCAAGTGAATTAACTGTTTTATCGATTTCTTCTCTAGATAGATTTCTTCTCTAGTCAAATGTGAATTTAGTTAGTTTTTAGATTAATATATGTCTAGTTTAAAATATAAACAGATAGTTAAGAAAATTAATCGAATCTTTGCTACTAACTTTATGATTAATTATATCAATATATTTGTAATGATTAATTCATTTCTAAAAGTTAGATATTTATTAATATCTAGATTTATTTATAGATTTATTGTTCAAGATTGATCTTTCATGAAATTTCTTTGTTGAAATAATATCTACGAAGAGATAAAAATAATTGCTACTTATGAAAGAAGAAGTTTTCCATTAAATAAAGACACAAATAATAACTTTACTATCGCGTGTAAATTTTAAATTTTTCGTGAAAAAATTCGCGTGCCGTTGGATGTTTAATTGTACACGATCGATTTAATCTCGGGATCGACATTCCGCTCGACCAGCAACCGAATAATAAAACGCGATCTTTTAGAATAATAAATAAAGCGTGCAACGAGATCGTCGATTTTTTTTTTTTTTAATTTGACGCAAAAAGAGAGAGAGAGAAAGAGAGAGAAAGGGGGAGAAAGGAAATTCCACGGAGAGAGAGAGAGAGGAAAAAAAAATATTTAAATTATTTTAATTAAAAGTGAAAATAAAAGACTCACGAGACGCATGTACGTGTAAACTCCTTTGCCGAATTTACAATTTCGTAGCGTGAATACTATCGTCATGGTCGCGTTCGTGGATTAAATATTAAGCAGTCATGCGTGCGACAAATTACCACGGTGAATAAATTTACATATTTATCTGGTTATTACCGCGACTTTCAGCAGAACGAAAACAAAAGTTGAACGTTAAGCACGTTGGAAAAAAGAAAAAAAAAAAAAAAAAAGAAGAAGAAAAAAAATTCGTGAAAAAATGACGCGACCGTTCTACGTTGCATATAATGCGTTATTTCGAATGTATAATGGATTTAAATTGATAAGGTTTTACGATCTCGTCGAAATTTGTTCGATCGCCTGTTAGAGAATTTCCTAACTTCTCTCGAAAAAATTTATTTTAAACTCGTGTTGCGTCTGGATTGTTCGGAATTATTGCATGGAAATGAGAGATTATTTTAATTTTTCGAATTCGAATGTATCTTTAACACTTGCTTTATATAGAGCGAAATAAGAAGAATCGACACGAATAATTCAAATGGAATAATTCGCATGCGTTTTCATTTTTTTTTTTTTCTTAAACGGACATTCATTCCTACGTTCTTTCTTACGTCCTTTCTCTTTTTTTTCTTTTTCTCAACGAATAAAGCGAATACGATTTACAAAAAATTCGATAAATCCGATAAAAGCGATTCGATAAAAAAAGGAAGCGAAAACTAAAGAGAAATTGCAACCAGGGGATCCTTGAAACTATCAAAGTGGCGGCAATCACGAGAAACAGGGTTCCCCCACGAGAAGAACAAATGGAAATAAATAAAAAAAAAAAAAGGAAAAAAGGGAAGTCGAGACACGATATGCTAATGAGGCCAGCCGCTTTTCTCGTTTTTGCTGCGACGTTCTTGCGAACCCTGTAACAGATTCTGCGCGTCGAACCGCCTCTCACGATCCACGATGGGCGATCTCGAGATCGATCTTGGACCCCCGTGAAAACACCGTCCCCGAGATATGTGGAAACGGGTTCCTCGATTGGCGGTATCGATTCTCAAAGATAACCGGAGAGAAACCGAGACGGGGCAACATGTGGTATTCCACGGATAAATGTCCCCTTCTTTTCGCGGATGAACGTTCGTCCAATCGTCCACCATGCTTCTTTCTCTCCGTTCGGATTCGAGGAAAGGATACAGCGATAATCTGCACATCTGATTTACAGAAGCTTAAGCGGGTATCTCTGCATTATGGTATTGAAGTGTTTTTTATTTTTTATTTTTTTTTTTATGGTTTCGATTATTCTTCGCGAAATGAATGTATCAGAAAAAAAATTATTTTTAACTTTTTCAGTTGTAAGAGGGAATCGAGCGTTTCGAAATTATGTTTTCGAATTGTAAATTAAAAAAATCTTACAACAACTTATTCTTTAACAGGGATTTTGGAATGAATTATGGATCGTGCGTGAATTTTATAGTACTTCTATTAAGCCATTCTGTCGTATCAAATTAATCAGATAAAAAAAAGGATGCATGGAAGAACTTTGTTTTCGAAAAATTTGCATACAATAATTTTTATAATTAGCTTCCAGTTATTGCTAATCTATCTGGAGTCAATGGATTTTATCATTGCTCACGACAATTATTTGTACAAAATTCCCATGAGTATCTTATGTTCTGGTCATTAAAAAGAACGTTTCGAGATTATCATCGAAAATAAAAGTTAATCATCGCGAGTTTAAATTTGCAAGATTTTGCAATACCCGCAACGATATTCATAATACTCGACCATTAATTTATCATGTAAAATATCTACTATCTTTTTGCTATTTTTATTTCAGCAAAATAATACAATAATTTCCGGTTAAAATGGGTTCTTAAAACAGTTTGCTACCTGAAAACCCATTAACAGGCTGCTTTTCAGTAGCGCTTATTGACTGGCAGCCTATTTATCCCCCTTTCTATTAGCTTTACCGAAGTAGCAAGCTATCGTGATACTAAAAAGAGGACTTTAACTGTTTAACACGATGAAACTGCCTATGTATCCATGTTTTCAACTATCATTCTATTTTCATATCGCTTATAATTTGCTTTTTTTCATAAGCAAAGAAAAATTTACTTTCTCGACTGAAAAATAACATTCCATTCGAGATTTCTTTTTTCTTCGATTATCAGTTAATTAACACCTCGAACAACGATTTTAAAAAAATCTATCTCTGTTAATAAACATTTTCTATATATATATATAATCTCTAATAGAATATTCCTTAAAATGAAAAATTTCAAAAAGTTTCAAAAGATATTTAAAAACGATAGATCGAACATTCCATAGAGTTAATCCAAAGCCTCCTTTTCTTTTTTTTCACGAATATTAAAAATTATCAAAACTCCCCTCCCTCGTATCCGTATCCAATCGCGAGAACGCGAAGCGAAAAACGTGTCGCCAATAACTTACGAACCCATAATCTTCCCCTGCGCGCATTTGAAAATGCGCATTAACGCTATCTCTAACGATAGCCCTGCGCTCGGGCCTGCACTTTTATTACCGATTTATCCGTACATTGTAAATCCGGTCGATAATTCTTACGATTGCGGAAAAATGCGCGCCGCTAATTTCGAAAAAAGCCTTCTCCAAGCCGGGGCAAAAAGAGAAAAATAAATGATATCCGTGCGAGGATCGGGAAACACGATCCAGGAAATACACGTTTTCGATACACGAGAGAGAGAGAGAGAGAGAGAGGGGGGGGGGAGAGAGAGAGGACCGGAGAAGCGAGAGGGAGAAAGAGAGGAGGGTATATAAAGGGCAGAAAGGAGAAAGGGGGAAGAGGGAAGAGGAGCGTAGGCAGAGAGGCCCCTCGGTTGGTGGGACCTCCGCCGCTATAAAACGCTCAGATAAAGCCGCGATGTTTATATGCGTGGATCGCTGCGGAGAGAGGAGTGCCGTGTAGAAGGAAAGATATACCTGGCCGACCAAATAATAAGACAAAAGCCGGGGGTGGACGGCAAGTAGGAGGGGGAGAGGGGAGAGAGAGGGGGACTCGAGGAGGTTACTCGAGGAGGAACGATAGAAAGTTGTGCATTCGTTTATTATGTTATCTTTGTTCCATCTTTGTCTGGTTGTTGTAATCCTTTGCACTTAGAACATTTGGATTTTTTCCAACGTGAAACTCGTGTTTTTTTTTTTTTTTTTTTTNTTTTTTTTTTTTTTTTTTGAAAATATCTGTTGTCGATATACGATGTTTATGAAAATTAAACTAAACTCCGAATTTTTGAAACTGTACGAGAATAAATATTCGT